GGGTTGGTGAGCGCCAGTGAGCAGGGGGCGAAGCCTCCTAGTTGAATTGATTTCTTAAAGTTCGTTTGATTGATTTCTTAAAGTTTAGTTTGACTGAAATGATGCAAGCATAAAGTTTGTATCATTTCAGTTAAATTTACTTTTAAACCCTACTTTAAAAACACTTAAATTATTTTTGGTGTTTACATTTTTAGTTGTCTAATTTTAAATATGTTAATTTAAAATTATTCAATTAATATTGTTAATTAAATGTTTGGAATTTAATTTGAGTTTTTTATTTTAAAAAAATATTTTAAATGGTATTGTTGTTAAATATTATTTTTTTCTTCTAGGAACATAGATTGTGCTGTAGTCAAAACCATACTGCTACCCATTTAATCAATACTGCATTAAGAAAAATTTTACCTTACACTGTGCAGAGATCCTCATATGTTGGTCCAACATATTTAACCCTTGGATTTAGTGCAAAAGTAACACAAATTTTTATTATTTCTGTGTATTAAAAGCTTTTAGCTGTGAGACGTATCTTTACAGAATATTGAGGTGTGTGTTAAATTTTTCTTTTAATTCTGTAATTTTCTGTCATTATGTCTCAACTAAAGTTATGCTTGAAAGTAATGCAATTCATGTAGCAAGCTATTATGACAAAATATTTTAAGTGAATCTGTATATTTTATAGCCTGTGTTGAACAGCCGACCCAATTATAATTAACTTCCGAGATATAAGAAATCGGACTTCCACCTGACCGAGTTGTATTCTATCGCTCTGGCCACTATACACGAGAGATACCCTTGCCAGCAATGGCTGCGGATTTTTACTGATGTATCCGCCACTCTTTCGACTGGTAAAGCTAGAGCCGGTGCTTACTCCAAATATTTCAGCCTTAGAGAACGTCTTGACACTTGGGCAGACAATTTTGATGGAGAAATGTTTGCAATCCTTATGGCTACTACAGCTATTGGTGAACCATCTGAACAAAGCATTGTTATCTTTGTCAATTCTCAGGCTGCTATTCAGACCATTTCTGAATATAATGTATGCCCCTCTGAACTTGCATTTATGTGTAAACAATGCATCAACTCTCTTCTTTGTTCTGGAAGAGAGGTAGTCCTCCATTGGATCCCTGGCCATTGTGGCATTTACGGAAGTGAACGGGCTGACATGTTGGCTAGAGAGGCTTCAGCATTGCAGCCATCTTCTCATCCAATTCCCCTCAGAAATGCAAGGCGGCTTCTTAAGAGCAAATTCAGGCACAAAACAATATCTGCTCTTAGGGACTTAGCTGATGGAAAACCCTGGGCTAGCCTTCTTGATGACCAGCAGCGCTCTCACCTTTCCCTCCTTCCCAGAGCCGAGGGAGTTGCTTGCCTTAGAATAATTACTGGACATGACTCTTGCAGGCCCATCTATTTAAAATTGACCTGGTCAATTCACCTCTTTGTGTGCTCTGTAACACTTCACCTATGACTGGGGAGCATCTATTTGATTGCCCCTCTTTTCTTGACATTCATTCCTGTGATGACTTTTGTGCCCTCTCACCTTCTGGAGCTACTTCAGTGTTGTATTGAACTGCAAGAACATTGCATTGGACTGTCTGAGAAGACAATGTCGGGCGTAATTTAAAAAAATAAGAAAAAGAATTATAATTAACAATGTTCAATTCTACAGCCTTATAATTTTGAACTCAACCCAGAAAACAAGGGAACTCCTGGATCAAGCATTGGAACAAACTAGCTTTTGCACAAACAAAATCTTGCACAAACTTAACACCCTCTCACGACTGCGTGAAGTCCACCTCCAGTGGATCCCTTCTCACGTTGGGCTTCTGGGCAATGATATCGCCGACACTCTGGCTAAGGTGGGGACAGAAGAAACTTTGATGAGTCCAAATTCACTCACCTTCATGGAACTGGCATTGAAAAAGGAAAAAGAAGACAATGTTTCCTGGCTCATACCCCCCAAACATCACTGGTACAAAAGCACCCGTCCAGGAGGTGCACTCAACATTCGGTGCAACCGCAAGGATCAGACGGCGCTTACCAGCAGTCACCTTAAGTCTCTTTCTTTCGAGGGCAGTGTTAAACTCTTCCCAAAATGCCCCAGATGGCACAACATGCAGGCTTCTCCCCAAGATATCCTGGACTGTTATGGACTGGACAAGAGAGACATTCTAGAAAATCCATTTGGTGGCCGACTTCCTCCGGGTCATGAATTTCATGGACATTGTTTAGCCTTGCAAATTTTGGGGATTAAGAAGAAGAAGCTTTTGTGGAGGACTTTTTTTTATAGAATTAACCCGCATTTCATGGAGTGGAAAACCTCCCATGGTTAGCTTTGCCAGCAAGGGGATTTTAACCCATGATCCATCTGCCACTGAGAATATTTTATGTCAGCACTGTGTTGGGTGTGAGCTGGAATGAGAATTCATATAGCCTTCGCTTTGATTCAAACCTTGGTTACCTCATTGGGAGAACTCTATCCTCTGGCTGAGTGAATCTGTATAGAGATTATTTGCCTTGAATGAGCATCTAAATTGTGTGTTTGGGAGGAATTTTCAATTTATTCAATAACTGGCAGTCTATGGTGACCAGCTGGTCCTACTGCATCGCATAACCGCTTAGTGGTTCCAAGTTTTCCTTCAACTGCACGTCCTCCTGATGAGAATTCATATAGCCTTCGCTTTGATTCAAACCTTGGTTACCTCATTGGGAGAAAAACACTCTATCCTCTGGCTGAGTGAATACATATAGAGATTATTTGCCTTGAATGAGCATGTAAATTGTGTGTTTGGGAGGAATTTTCAATTTATTCAATAACTGGTAGTCTATGGTGACCAGCTGGTCCAACTGCATCGCATAACCGCTTAGTGGTTCCAAGTTTTCCTACAACTGCGCGTCCTCCTGATGAGAATTCATATAGCCTTCGCTTTGATTCAAACCTTGGTTACCTCATTGGGAGAAAAACACTCCATCCTCTGGCTGAGTGAATCCGTATAGAGATTATTTGCCTTGAATGAGCATGTAAATTGTGTGTTTGGGAGGAATTTTCAATTTATTCAATAACTGGCAGTCTATGGTGACCAGCTGGTCCAACTGCATCGCATAACCGCTTAGTGGTTCCAAGTTTTCCTTCAACTGCACGTCCTCCTGATGAGAATTCATATAGCCTTCGCTTTAATTCAAACCTTGGTTACCTCATTGGGAGAAAAACACTCTATCCTCTGGCTGAGTGAATCTGTATAGAGATTATTTGCCTTGAATGAGCATGTAAATTGTGTGTTTGGGAGGAATTTTCAATTTATTCAATAACTGGCAGTCTATGGTGACCAGCTGGTCCAACTGCATCGCATAACCGCTTAGTGGTTCCAAGTTTTCCTTCAACTGCACGTCCTCCTGATGAGAATTCATATAGCCTTCGCTTTAATTCAAACCTTGGTTACCTCATTGGGAGAAAAACACTCTATCCTCTGGCTGAGTGAATCTGTATAGAGATTATTTGCCTTGAATGAGCATGTAAATTGTGTGTTTGGGAGGAATTTTCAATTTATTCAATAACTGGCAGTCTATGGTGACCAGCTGGTCCAACTGCATCGCATAACCGCTTAGTGGTTCCAAGTTTTCCTTCAACTGCACGTCCTCCTGATGAGAATTCATATAGCCTTCGCTTTAATTCAAACCTTGGTTACCTCATTGGGAGAAAAACACTCTATCCTCTGGCTGAGTGAATCTGTATAGAGATTATTTGCCTTGAATGAGCATGTAAATTGTGTGTTTGGGAGGAATTTTCAATTTATTTAATAACTGGCAGTCTATGGTGACCAGCTGGTCCAACTGCATCGCATAACCGCTTAGTGGTTCCAAGTTTTCCTTCAACTGCACGAACTCGCCACTTCATAGTTTCATGCTGGTTTTCACTGCCTTCAGCATTGCTCTTACTCCTTGGCATTAGCATTTTAACTTATGTCATGTTATTGATATTATTGAAGATTTTGTTAATAATATAAAATTGAGCCAAGTAAAGTAAACTTAAGGCAAAATATTTTTAGTTAATCCATATTGAAATTATTAACTTGGATGTGCATGTAAATTATGTATTTATAAATTTCCAATTCATAACAAAACTAGCTATCTCAGTCGGTTTGGCTACTCAAAACCACTGTTTCTTGTTCTGCATAGTCATCTGTTTGTACAATACAAGCTCATCTTTTTGTGACTTAATGGTTCAAAAGCCAGAATCGGCTATGGTGAGCCAAATGCATGGAGTAACCATTGGGAATGTGTTATTAAGCATTACTGTCATTTAGGCTATTTACCAAATGTTAGAAATATATTTTTCTAATTCAAATCGTCTAAAATCAGCAGTTTTACATTTTTTTTTCTTCTGAAAAGCATGTTTAAATTTCAAGCTGTTGCCTATAGCTTCACAAGTATAAATAGAATTAAAATAATCAGAGTTTTTTCCTATCTTAAAATTAACTTTTGTTTAATTTTTTTCTCCTTCAGACAGTAGAATAAATTAAAATAATTTTTGCTCATTTTTTGGATGTAATAGCATTTGAGCAAATTAAGATGCCTTTTTGTTAGAGAATACAGCTTATGTTCTTCTAGGCAAAAAATTCTTAAACTCCTTAAATGCATATCTAGAAATAATACAAAGAAACTGCTTGGTGTAAAAATATTACCTATAACATAAGTGTCCTGTGTTTAATCTTTGTATTGTCCCAAACCATTCATATTTTCCGAATTTTACAATCATGATGGCGGGGCCTTGATTATTGAATTCTACAATCATGATTGCGAAGTCTTGATTGTTGAATTCTACAATCATGTGTGCAAAATCTTGAATTATTGCTTATTTTGATACTATTTAAAATGCTGTACCTTGTTTATAATAATTTTTTCTTTATTTATTTATTACTGTCTTTTATAAATGGTATATTTTTGCAGGCAAAACTGTCACCAAAGGATCTTGAAGTAGTTGAAAATTTTGTTAATTCAGCAATTCTCCAAAAACATATTGTGGAAAGGAACGAAATAATGTTTGAAGAACTTTTAAATATTCCAAATGCTGTCCTCCTTCGTGGTGAAGTATGAAATTTCATCCATAAAACATAAGAACTAAGTTATTGAAAAACTTTATATAAATAATTGAATTTTCTTGGTATGATGTATATATTGAAATGGATCTATGCAATTCTATAAAGCTCTTGTTCTCCTTAAAGCACATTAGCCTTACAATCTGTACAAAATTGAGAGACTAAAATTGACAAATTTGATGAATTTTATTTCTATTAATCTTAATAATTTCAATTTTTTAATTCATATTTTTGTCATTTGAAGTATCTGTATTTGAAAATTTTTAAAGCATACATATTGATTTGTTGCAGATATATATTACCATTCTTAGTTGGTGAGTTTAATAATCAGGAGAACAGAGTATTTTATTTTTAACTCCAAAAATAGGGGTATAGTGTCGGAAAGTTGACAAAACACAATGTAAAAGAAAAATAATAATATTTCCAATAGTGCATCAAAAGGCAATTAAATTACGAAAAAGATAACAAGAAATCTATAAATGAGAGCAAGCTGTCCAGTAGTGTTCCCAGATTGTTGTCTAAATAAGAGCAGGGCATCTAAACAGTTGAGACAAGTTCATCTCTTTGTGGAAGATCACACAAAGTACAAAAAAGATCAGGAACCACTTTGATCCAACATAGATGTTTATTCAGGCAATCGTAAAAATATTTTATTTTGAAAAAAGTTTTTATTATAATATTAAGCTATGCTTTTTGTTTTTCCTCGTATTAATTTTTTTTTTATCTATGTAGCTAATTATCGAGTTTTCATAGTGTATAATTATCCAGACCAAGTCTATCTGTGTTAAATTTTTTTTCTCCGTAGAACATTTTAAGTGATTGTAGTTTTCTAGATAGAAACAGCTTAATATATCGCAATGTGTAATTAAATAAGAACAATTTAGTATTTATTCTCAGTATATGAGAGGATTCTATAGTTAAATGATGTTTATGAATGGTTTATTTATTTAAAAAAAAAGTTTATTTTGTGCTCAACCTTTGCCTCTTGTTATAATTGAAAAGTTAATATTTACTTCCATTTAATTTGTTTCATATTAATTTACAGGAATATCCTGACAATGTATCAGTTATTACTGTCGGAAATATTGGTCCAGAATGTGTTTCTGTGGAACCCTGCTGCGGAACGTTAGTAGCCTTTCTAATATTAGGTATAACAAAATTGAAAATAACTACATATTGAAACTGGGTGTTCATTATAATCATGATATCCTTTAAATCAGTTAACAGAAACTGTTGTGGTTAGATAAATGGTATCTGTGTATAATAAATCAACTATGAGTTGCTGAATTTAGAATTTAAGTTCTTCAGCAATAAAAAAGCACTGACTGAAAAGTGATATTAACGATACATTATTATCAAAACATGTGTCACTGAATATGGAGGGAAAAATATATTATGCTGTTATCGCAGTTTCACATGGTGTTAGAAAAGATGATCAGTTTTAAAAGCAACGTCTAAAAATACAACATATCCTGTTCTTTTTAATTCTCAGCTTACACGCATTGTAACTTTTCAAACAAATGTGTTGAAGCACCACAACTTTGTAAGCAACCTGTTTCACTTGTATTTCATACCATCTAATACTTTGTTAAGATTTCTTCTGGGGGAAGCCTATTTCTTCCAGGATGAAACTGAAAAAGAACAAAGAACAATAAAATTGTTTAGAAATATGTAATATAACTATAGTTTAAATTTCAGCAAATTGCATTTAATACAGTGGCAGAAAGTTAAAAGTTTTTCTTTCATACTTAAGAAGAAGAAAAACTATTTTACGGTTATTTATTTTAGTTTTGTATAGGAATTTCAAATATATTAAAAGAAGGCTTGAGTATTAAAATTAATATGCGATTTGTAATTGTTAATACTATTTGTGATTTGTGGTTGTGTATTTGAGTAGTAAGTAATTTATTAATTTAATTGCATTAATAAAAAATTAATTATGATATTTTAAATGTTCTTTATACAACACTTTTTTTTACTGTGCTCCTCTTTCAGTTATAATTTTTTTTAAAAATTCAATAAAGTTTTTGGTTCTTTCTTATTGTTGCTTTTTTGTTTTCACTTGTTAAAAAAAAGATGAATTAAATAACTTGGAAATTAATATTGTTTAAATTTGATTGCGATTCTAAACTGTTTGAAATATTTTTTAATACATATTTCTTTTTGAAAAAAAGTTTCTTCCATTCTAGTTTTTCCCACTGTGGAAGAAATTTGTCTTCCCTGTTGTAATTATGAGCTGGCTCATTGAAAGATCTTAATCTATTAACTATATCTAGAAAGTTTGTTTTATGGTTTGGTTATGGTTATATCTGTCACTATTTTAAATTATACGAGTATAAATTTTTTTATATATATCATAATATGGTGTCATACCAAGATGTTTACCATATTATTAGCACAGTTATTATTATTTTTTTTTAATGGCGGGCACTTGAGACGTATTGGCCAGGAGTGCCAGAACTGCTACTCTCTTCTCGTTACCCAGTGGGCACCTGTGGCAAAGCCACGGCGGTGGAGCAGCATCGCCCACGTCACACAACCACAAACCCGTTTATAGGGTGGGTCACAATCACACACAGGAGAAAGGACATCCATGGCCTGAGCAGGATTCGAACCCGCAACCATCGGCTCCGCAGTCAGGCACGCTAACCATTCGGCCACCTGGTCGACTTTTAGCACAGTTATATATTTGCCAATTATGGTGATAATTCTCTATGCTATGATTTGGAGAGTTTTTAACAAAACATTAAATTTCTTTTATTTTCTTACCAACTTTTTTAAATCGGGAAACATACTGCTTCTTGCAGGGGATAAAATACTGACTTTGTGCATAAAAGTAAAAGTTCACTACTTTCCTGCCTAAACTGATAAGACCATATTTTCTAAAAAATGTTAAAAAGAAAATAAAGAGAGCAGGTTTTCCATGTTTTGAAGTTTCTTCTGTGAAGTTGTAGGCAAACAATCAGAAACTTACTTTATGGTAATAGGGAATTTCGTAGTGTTCACAGTCGTTAAATCAACTGTACCATTACTAAGCTTTATGCTCCAGAAACAATGTATCTGTTGTTCTCAATGGACAAAAACTGTTGCTCATCTACTGTTTCAAGGCAGCAAAGCCAGTAAAAATCTTTTTTTTTTTTAATCAGAATTTTTTTTTCTTTTTTGTATATTTTATTCAAGTTTCTGCTAAAATATTGTAATAATACTTAAAATTATTATGGCTGAACTATTTATTAATTCCAACAAAAATGGTTAATACTATATAATTACTACAAACTAATCACTAAATAATATACAATGGTTTTTATTTAAGCTCAACACACTCATGAATTATAATTGAACTTCAATATTTATATACACTTGCAGCATATTTAACCTTCAGTTAGACGCGCACTTGGTTCCGACATGGTTAGTCGCGTTGCACCTAGGAGGTATTTTTGATTTTTTTAAAGTCAAGTGAAATTTATTCTAGTTTAAATAGTTAATTGTTACCTATTTAAGATTCTTTAGATAGATAAAGTATTAAAAAACATATTTAATTAGTAAAATTTATTAAAAAGCTGTATCACAAATAATTGCACAACATAACGAAAAACGAAGAAAAGCGAAATTGTAAAATAACATTGAGAGTCTTGTATATCGGAACAACTTATTTCAATATCACATGTTAGTATGAAAATATTATCTTAGAGGCTGTCTGATGTAGAACTACCTTCATGTGAACAAGAATTTTTGCAAAAGGTCTACAAATTGTTGCTACATGACTCAAACGTAAGTATTTTCCGCAAGTTGCACAAGTATACTTTGTATTTTTTCGTTCTTTATTTTTTTGACATGGCTCGCACAATTTTCTCTTCTTGACCTGATTTTCAGACCGTGAATTTTCTGTGGCTTGAGAAGTTTGTTTCTGCCAATCAAAAGCGAAGTACTGAAGATAAATTTTTCTTGCTCCTTCGTCGGATCATTTTATCCATCACAAGATGTTTAGCCAATTGACGCAAGAAGGTTCTGCAGTTTTTCACTTCGTAACCATTTTTTGTATATATAACTTGAACATTTATACCTGCTACGTTGATTAGGGCATAAAATTAGATAAAATAAGTATATTTAATTCATAAAAATATTATATCCATAATACTTGCATCAATGGTCGCGCTGCACCTGTGGGATGATTTGAGCTGCTGCAACTCTCCATCGACATGTTCGAAGGTCGGGAGTACACGGACCTTTGAGTAATCCAAAGATAGGAAGATAACATTAGGGTCATCCCCCAGAACCATTCATTGACGACAAAGAGGTGGAAGTGTAGTAAAGATGAACCTGTGAGGTGCGCGCGTCAAACAGAAGGTTAAAAAGTTTTAAGAGTGCTTGTATTTAAATAAATTTAAAATTAAGTGGAGTATAATTGAAACATGTTCATTAAAAACAAATTATTTGACCATTTTTAAATGAAAATTATAACGGAAACTTTTATTCACATTTCGTTCTGTTATTTTTTTCTACTTTTAACCTGAAATAATAATTTACAAACATTCCTTTTCATTTTTTCTATAGAAAAAAACCCTCACAACTGAAAAATCCCCAGAAAAATCTTCAAAATTTGTATAAAAAAAAGCTTTTTTTTATACAAATTAGAATTTTATTTTTAAAAAAAAGCATATAGACTAGTGATAAACATAGTCTAATACTCGTACAAACAGAATAACTGAAAGCCAACAAAAGATTACAAAATAACATGCTTCTACACTCACCTAAGTATTCTTTATCAGAAGAGTGATGATGTCACAACCTAAATGTAATTGCAAATGAATAAGGGGGAAAACAAAGCTCTCTTAATTCACAGCATCACTTTCTTAAGATGAAAAGCTGAAGAGGATTTAATATCAACCAAGGAATTTTGATGTTAAGCAAAGAAAAGAACTTTACTTTATTTTAACCTATTATTGAATCTATTAACCGCACATATTAAATCTATCATACCAAATCTATGTAAAATTAATCCTTTACTTAGTAATCTAATTTTAAAAAAATTCAATTAATTTTTTATTTTAATGCTGACATATGAGTTATCAATGTTTAAATGTATTTATTTTTTTTCTATACAAAATCTGCTGAATAAACTTTCTGGATAATATCTTATTGAATACTTGTTTAGGACATAAAATAAACTTTAGTAACTTAACTTTAAACTTTGCCCTTATTTTAGTCCTTTTTTGTCATTTCTCATATTTTCATACAATCCAGATTCACATGTAATCATAATTGTTTCTCCTAATTTTATTTATATGCTTATAATTTTTTTTATTAGGCATGTCCATAATACATTTGACCTCAGTGATTTTGTACTCATTCCCTCCAAGTCTCATGGTGGTTCAACCAAGCTCATCAGTGCTGTGACAGGAAAGCAAGCTGACATCATCAGAAAGAATTATGTCAATTTTGAGCAAGAAGCTCTTCCGTTGAAGGAAAAAGTTGACAGCACTCTCTCAGAGATCAATGTAAGTTTTTTTTCTCCATCTTTTCACGATAATTTAAAAAATAAGTTATGAAATTTATCCTATTTGGCCAAGTCCATACAAGTGGTACTTTAAAGACAAATTTTTGGAATTATATGAAAAAAATCTGAGATTCAGCTTTTTACGTTATTCTAATAAGCTATAAAATTCTAAAATCCGACATGGCTTAAAGATATAAAGTCTGTAGGGCTTTACTTAGTCATGTAAATACATTAGAAGATCTATTTTAGAACTCAAGTCTATTAATGTTAGACTTCATGTTATATAAAATTTTGTTTTGTATAGATCATTTCACACACCATTAAACTTACCTGTTAACTCTCTGTTTGCTGCTGTCTGAAAATCTCTACCCCCTTAAATTTCTGTTACACCCCAGAATTTTTATACCAACTTCCTCCCCCTCTTTCTCTACAAGCTGCGATAGTCAACTTAACAGCGGGAAGTTTTAGAGATAATCCCTTAACAATGGGAAGTGTTATGGATTTGAAACCATAGACTTTTTAGAGGTGATGGGGGTTGTATTGAAAGAAAATCATTGTTCTCTGGTTTCTTCAATTTTGACTCATTTCGTTGTTGAGAAATAACTAAAACTACAATCAATACTTATTAAAAATAATCCTTCTCAAAAAATTTGTAAAAAAATAATTGTTTTCTATATAGATACTGTTTTTTTCTTTCTTTTTTTTTCGAATCATTATTGTATAATTTAATTAGAGTTTCAATAAAGAACTGATTTCATTCAATTAAGTTAATTCATTGATCATTTTCACAATGTAATAAAATTATTTAATCCTAATAATAATGTCATTCTCAGGATTTAACATTTAAATTTATTTCTAATTTTATTCTTTAAAATGTGGAAACTCATAGTGAAAATTCAATTTTGGCAAGCATAAATTTAATTCATTTTTATTATTAAGTTATATTGTTAACTGAATATATTTAAGAATATTAAGCATTTTACTCAATCGTACTAACTGAAAAGCTAAAGGTTAAAAAGTATTAAGTCAATGGTAAAAAGAGATTCATGTCATATGAAATCTATGCTATTATTATATATTTTTAAATAATATAAAAGAATATATTACATATACATAAATGATAAAATTATCATTTATAAATGATAAATTTAATAATTATGTAATTAAATATGATAAGCTGAATATTTTGATGATTGGTAACTTTGACATTAATGGCTCTTTATAATAATAATTGATAATTTTAAAATATATTTGAAAAATGAATCATTTTTAAATATCAAATAAATAATTATCATACAGAATATTTGAATGTATTAATCAGGTATTTAGTTTGAAATGTTTTGGATGATCTTAAAGATACACATTCATTAGAATAGCATATTATATTTATTAGCAAAATTCAAAATTAATATATAAAATTAAGATTGAATTCGAATTTTAAACATGAAGATTTATTTATGCTAAGACTTCCAAGAAATTCTAACTAATTAAAATTTATTTTTAAAGAAAAACTTTTTAAAAAAGAAAAAATTTAAGTGAAGCAAGATTTTTATTTAAATATCATAGTGAGTGACAATGAGTTGAAAGAAAGAAAATTATCATCAGATTTTAATAATTTCTTTTGTTCTTCTTTATATAAATAATAAATAGCGACTTATTTTGTTCAACGACTCAATAAATTGGCAAATAAATTTTTATAAGGTCAAAAATGTTAACTTGTATTACAATACTTGATATTAAAAATCATGATGTTTACTATCCTCAAAGCAAAATAAAAATGATAATAATTATTCTCTTTGAATATAAATACAAGAAAATTAAGGTTTAGACATGTAAGCGCGGAATTAAAATGATCTTTTTTCTTTGAAAATATTGACTTCAAAGGAAGAAAATGTAAATGAAATTTGACCCCGGGGGTTGGCGAGCAGAATGTGTAGGGGTCAAACCTCCTAGTATTATATCAAATTGAATAATATACTCGTATTTCAATAAATCATTATATGCATAATAAAATGTATATATACTATAAAACTCCTACTCACCCCCCCCCCCTTATTGTATCTCATTAATATTTGCTTTTTTTTTCTTTCNTACTTGATGCAAGTGTTTGATCAATCCCAATTAACATTTTATCAATTTCTTAATTGTAGCAAAATAAACAATTACTTGGATTTGAAAAATAATTATCTATACTTGAAAAAAAAATTTATCTAAGGAGTACAGATTGTGTGACTCAGTAAGAAGAAATAAATGAGAACCAATTTTACCCGAACAATTTTAACATAATAGTTCAAATAGGAGAGGGTTTTTATAGCTCTTTTAAGTTTTTTTTGTATTTATAAGAATTTGTAACTTAAATATTAAGATATCTGACAACATATTTCTTTGATAACAGCTTAAGCCACAAACTTTCAAAATTAAAAACTCACGAAACATTTTTTTAATATTTTGATTGTTGAATGTTCTGTATGTTTTGATTTAGTGATTATGAATAATATTTTATATTTTGTATAAAATAAGCATGAACTCCATTTTATTATTCAATAAATTAACATTTTTTCATCATCATTTACACTAGCTCCATTACTTTATATGAAGGATGTTCTTTTGAATTATTAATATGATTTTAAAAATATCCTTAATTGAAATTTTGATTATTGGGAAATTCTCATTAATTTTTGACTTTTTAATAATTATCTTTACAACAAGAAAACATATTCTTATTCAAATTGATGGAGTACCACAAGGATCTAATTTTTCATCTCTCTTAGCTAACTTATTTTTATACTATTATGAAAAAAAATATGCTCTTAATATTAAATTTGTTTTTACATTTATTGGTGATGTAATTACATTTTTAATTTTCAAGATTATACAATTTTATTAAATAATATTTACCCCGAGGAATTAATCTTGCTTCAAAATGATGATAATAACTTAATTTATTGGTTTTGGGTAGTAAAAAAGAAGAAAATGTCTGCTTTGATGATTTGTACGATAAAAGAAATGATTTTAATATAAATAAACTAATTACTTGGAATTCTAATGTTTCTAAAAACATCTATTTAAAAACCATTTTTAATCAAATGCTTAGAGTTAAAGGAATATGTAGTAATGTTTATTTATCCAAAAAAAAAACAAATCGACAAACTCCTTCAAAATTTGATAAAAAACAATTAATACCCAACTAAAGTAATTAAATTCAATATAAAATCATTCAGTTGATTGTATATCATTATTAATAAATTTACTAAAAACTTATTTGTTAATTTATATTTTNAAAAACAAATCGACAAACTCCTTCAAAATTTGATAAAAAACAATTAATACCCAACTAAAGTAATTAAATTCAATATAAAAGTTGATTGTATATCATTATTAATAAATTGACTAAAAACTTATTTGTTAATTTATATTTTTACCATGTGCAAATCTGTGGATTAAAATCTGTGCAATACAGGCAAATCTTGTTTCTCTCTCTCTTTTTTTAAATGTATGTTAATTTTTTAAAATCATTAAAATTGTATAATTAAATATGAACCTTATTAATTATAAACTTCTTTGAATTATCCAGTATAATATTATTACTTTGCGCACATCCATTTTCATGCCAATGCTTTATAACTAACAAGTCAAACACGCGTCTGTACTGCAGTAAGAACGAGCCATAAAACTAAATCCCTCTATTTACGCTTCTAACTTCATTTGCACTTCTGTTTTCATAATTTGTAATCTGGCAATCTTATTACGAAAATATTTTAAATCATTCTTGAAAGTTTACGGTACACGTGAATTTATTTGAATTCACTAATTACTTTATAGATTTTGTTTTGCTCTATATTTTATTTTCTGTTTTCTGCGGGATATATTTTTACTTAATGTGTTCTACTTTGTTTCAATTTTTTTAGTGCTTCACACACTATTGTATTGATATATTTTGTTTCGGCTACATTGATACAATATTAGAAAGCACTTCTTTTTGCGGATATAATCCTGTGAGCTGATGAAGCGATTATATCTTCTCCATTTTTTGTTTTATGGCTTATTAATATATATATTTTTTAGTATTTTTAAAAATATTTTATTTTAATAATTTTTCTTCTCTTTTAATTAATCTTTATTATTTTCCATGTTTTCTCTATGTTTTTATATGTATCTTAATATATTTTTATATACAATGTTTATATATATTTATTAATCATATTTAGCTTTTGTTTTTTTACCCTTCAGTATTGACTTTCATTCAAAATTGTTTAATTATTACTTAATAGGTGTTAACTTTTTTTCTATTTTCCCATTTGTATGTTGTTGCTTTTTTTTTCAGTTTTAATGTGCGTAATATTTGTTTATTTATTTTGACAGATGCCTTTGAATACATATCTGGATTTGTTGAGAGAAGTTAGAGTTTTATTAAAGGTGTGATATCATTCAGTTTTCTGTTATAGAATATGTTTTTTAAAAGTAAATATTTTTATAAATTTGTATATTATTATTAGTTTTAATGTTGATAACTAATTTTTTGTGAATTTTATTTCTAAAAAAGAAAGTTCAGTCTAGTTATGACATACCCTTACTCAAACAAGAAGAATGTGAAAATTTGCTAGAAGATTTAAAGCTGAAGCTTTATGATGTTGTTAATAGTTCATCTAAAACAGACTTAAAAATGGTAAGCCTGTTTTCTAATCTATAATTATCTAGCATTATTTTCTTTTCTTACATTAGATTATCTTAAAGGAAACCAAACTTATAATTGTTATTTACTTCAGTTACTTTTATTTATATTGTAATTATTTTTTGGTGATAATAATTTTATCCATTAGTGGCTGCAGATACTTTTTTACGAATAGTTCTAAATATGCATCCAAAGTTTGCAAAAATTATTCCTTTGGAATGAATTGCCCTTAAATACTGTTTTCTTTTGGTTTCTATTAATGTCCTTATATATCAAATGTTCCATTGATAATACAATTTTTTTATATTTTCCATAAGTTTTTGTTCTCGAAATGCGGGGTTAAAAAGCAGGCTTTATTAAGCAGGCTTTTTTATTCATGTCTATTTTCTCAAACACTCATTTTGAGAAATGTCCATTTTATTAAACATGCATTTAAGCTGTGTCAATTTCTTTAAAATCCACATTTCATGACATGTCAATTTTCTTAAACCCATGCTTCTCACTTTTCTTAAACACACATTTCAAACTGTGTCGATTTTCTTAAACACGTATTTCAAGCTATGTCAGTTTTCTTAAACACATACACCACACTGCATTAATTTTCTTTAACACATATTTCAAGCTGTATCAATTTTCTTAAACTCATATTTCAAGCTGTATCAATTTTCTTAAACACAATTTTCAAGCTGTGTCAATTTTCTTAAACACATATTTCAAGCTGTATCAATTTTCTTAAACACATATTTCAAGCTGTATCAATTTTCTCAAACATGCATGTCAAGTTGTGCCAACTTTCTTATTCACGCAATTCAAGCTGTATGTGAGCTCGCCAACGATATTCAAATTCGTTCGATTCAAGCTGTATCAATTTTCTTGAACACATATTTCAAGCTGTATCAATTTTCTTAAACACAATTTTCAAATTGTGTCAATTTTCTTAAATACATATTTCAAGCTGTATCAATTTTCTCAAACATGCATTTCAAGTTGTGCCAACTTTCTTATTCACGCAATTCAAGCTGTATGTGAGCTCGCCAGCGATATTCAAATCTCCCTCGAAGTTAATTTTTGGTAGTGTCAGAAAGAAAAGTGTTAGTTTGATTATTAATTTATTAATCAATTATTTTTGCATTAATTCTGTATTTTAGTAAACACAATCATAAAAATACTTTTTTTACTTTGAATAATATAAACTATAAACAAAGTTTTCAATTTTTATAGTTTCTTGATGTTTTGTTATGCATCATTAAATTTTTCTTATTTATGGTCGTCATATTTGACCAGATAGCCCAATGTGGGCCAATGTCTTCTTCTGGAGATTTCTCCATGACGAATAATGTTTTTAATTTATGATTAAACTAAATGTTTTCGTGTTTGAATTTTATTGATTTCAGGATAATTAACATAATTGTTCATAAAATATTAAAAAAAGTTTAACTTGAGCATTAATTTGCTCCTTTTTTTTATAAATATTCTCTAATTCCTTTTAGCTTTGTTTGAAAACACTTAAAAAATAGAAATGTTTTTAAGGGGCTGATTTCTGGAACTGAATGTAGCTCTACTGTTGCGGTTAAACTTCTGAAGTCAAGAAATTTACCTGAAACTGATGATTCCTTCAAATATAATTGTAAAAACGCAGGTAATTTCATGGCTTTAATCAATTTTCTTTTATATAATTACATTATATCATCAGAACCATACTAATCTGTCTCTAAGTATAACACTCTTACAGTGATTCTGCTTATGTGCTAAAATGTGGCAAATATGCCTAAAATTGGAAAATGGATGTGAAAAATAAGTTCTGTAATGCATAATTCTCCAGTGTGGAAAAAAAGAATAATTCTGAGTATCAAATTTCTTGATGCAAGTGTTTGATCAGTCCCAATTAAAATATTTGTTGCTTATCAATTGAAATAAATAGAGAATAAAAATTTATATTCAAAATAAAAACTCGTTTGTGTTAAAAATGGACCCAGAAATATAGAAATTCTGGTGCCTAAAGACCCCTAATTTCCTAAGTCCAGCAAATCACTGACTATTACATGTTAGATTCTTCTTTTTCTTTTTTTTCTTTTTTTTTTTTTTTTTGGAGAACCATAATTTGCCAAATTCAGCTTCTTTGGGCTGAAAAATCTTTGTTCAAACAATTACTTTTTCTGTATAATACTTTAAAAAAAAAAATTTTTGTATGCTTGCTAATAAAAGTAAAATTCAAAATTCATAAATTATTTTCTTTCATTAATGATTTAAATAATGTTAGTAGGGTGAAATCCCTATTAAAAAATGCGCATTGAAATTATATATGAATAAATTGTACTTTTCCATTTCTCCTGTGCAATTAAATTCAGCTGTTCTATTTATTTGTTTTTTATGTTTTTAAAAAAATAGCCAAATTTTTAAAAACAAAAAGTTGTGGCAGCTTAATGACATGTGCTGGAAAAATAGAAAAATATCGATTCTACATATATTTAATTGATTTAGGGATCATTTCAGATAAGATTACTTTGATAAGAGTGAAGAGTACAAAAATTTTATTTTTATTTATTTATTTTTGCATGCACTCATTACATATACAAATTTTTCTTAATTTTTGTTTACCTAATCACTTAAAAAGTACATAAATTTCAAATTCTTACATTGCATATAGGTGTTAAGTCAATTTCTGCCAAGCTTTTAGCTTGCTTTGAGAACCAAGAGTCAGTTGAAAGCATAGAAAGAGGATTTCAATGCCAGATTGTGTTAGATAGAACAAATTTTTATTCTGAAGAAGATAATCAAACCAGTGATGAAGGTCACATATCTTGTAATGTAAGTTTTATTAAGGCATTTATATGAGTATTTTCTGATTGTGTTCTGTATGTGTACATTTTATATTTTTGAGAAATAATTCAGTTTCACATTTTAACTTTTTGTTTTTTATTAATTTTTATTTATTTTTTTGTGAAATAATACAGTTTTAAAGCAGGGTTTTGGATTCAAAGTTGTAAATTTTGCAAGACTTACTTTATTTAAAAATTGGTTTCAAAATCTTAAAAGTAGAAAAAAAATTTGATCTCATGGAAATTATTGAAAGTACAAGAAAGTTCCTGCCCTTTTTGTATCAAAGATTAGCAGTTTATTGTGAGGAAACGGTACATTATATTTTATTCAACATATTTTTCATTACTAGACACTACTTTTCCCCATCTTTCTGGAAGCATTCGGATACCATGTCGAAAAAACTCTTTATCTTTCGAGGATATCCACAAATCGACCCATTCCTTGGTTTTTTCTACTGTTGTAAATTTCTGCTCTGACAGACCATGTGCCCTCAACCATAATAGGTGATAATTTGAAGGCACAAGGTCTGGCGAATACGATGGGTGGAGTAGAATTTGCCATTGAAGTGCTTCCAAATAGGTTTTGATCAGCTTTGCAGCACCTGGATGAGCATTGTCATGCAGGGGAATAATTTTGTCATGTCTGAACTAGTACTGGGTACGTTTTTCTTTGAGTGTTCGACTCAATCTCATTCATTGTGTGCGATAGAGATCTCTGGTGATGGTTTTGCTTGGTTTAAGCAACTCATAATAGAGAACGCCAATCTGATCCTACCAAATACACAGCATGAGTTTTTTTCCATGAATATTTGGCTTGGGTATCGATATTGTAGTATGATCAGGTGCTCCCCATGATTATCGTAGGTTTGTTGATTATTGTAGGTTCAATTTCTCAAACATCATCAGTATTTAAATTTGATGCAGTAAAAGATAATTATACCCTATGATGGGCCTATACCAAACCTACGATTATAATTTATAATATACTTTGGATCTCTAAAACATTTGGCACATTTTAGCTAAAAGAGGCTTACTGAAGTCAGGTAAACTTCTCTCAATTCCAATTAAGCAAAATATAAACAATATAAGGATTAAACAATATAATTATGAGTTAAATTGTTAAGGCGGTTAAAGTAAATAAAACCGAGAACAATAATTTGATTTGAATAACAAAGTTTACATTTCGAACCCAAATATAATGCAGAAACATCACAACAATTGTACTTAAAATACTGATACTAGTAGTGGTGATCAAAATCATTCCAAACTAAATTTAAAAATGCAATTGTTAAAAGGAAATTTCAGCACCAATAAAAAGGAACTATTACAGAGAATTCATTATGGTTAGCAGCTCTGTGATTATCCCGAAAGTTTAAAATTTATCCGGAAGTTATCATTTTTTAATGCAGGTGCACCTTAGTAATTGTCTTTGTTTTCTTCCCTTTTTTAACTTATAACATAGTTTGATAATGCAATATTGTTTGAACATAGTTTGCTGTGGTGTATACTATTACTGCTATTGTGTCATTTAGCTTTACATTTATTCCCTCTAATGTTTGAAACTTTTAACTACTTAAAATTTATCATTTTTTATTTTCATGGTATACTTTTTTAAAGGAAATGTGCATTAAATTACTTTTTGTTTAGGAATTTACAGTTAAGATTCATAAAGCTTATAAAGTAGATGGATTTATTTTCCATGATGGATTTGTTGAGGATGGCAAAGTTACTCCAAATCAGGATGTCAAGTTAATTATAAATCAGGTAATTGCTTTTATCAAAAGATTATTAAAATTAAGTGAGGGTGTGATGGGGTCGGAATACACTGGTACAATGTTCCAACAATTTCAGGTCAGTGATTTCAGAAATAAAAATGTATCTCTCTTGTTGTAACGGTCGATCTAGTAATAGTTACTCAGTGAGTAAAAGAAGCATGAACCTTCCACATTCATAATTAGAAGATTTAAAAAATAACAATATTCTTTTTAAAAAAATTTATTTGTTTCTTTTTCAATTTTTGTATTTAAGCATTCTGATGATTTGCATACACATTTTGCATTGTTTGCTAACTATCACTAATGCTGGACAAAAGGAGAAGTATTTCTTTTGTCCAGCTGATTAAGGGTGCCACTCTTCAGTCCTAAGGACTGAAAGTCTTGAGAAAAGATCAGTGGGGTGAAAATCTAAGTTTTTTTTTTAGAAAATAAAATTTATCAACATGGGATGTAACTTAATGATGCTGAAGTGAAAAATAAGGTGAGATATGAAAAGCTCCAAGAAAAAAAATTTTGGTGTAAAAAGATAGAGGTTATCTGTTATTTTTGTTTTGTTTGCTGTAAAAAAAGTATAATATAGAAAAAGTATCTTTTTTTTTAAAAAAAAAATAATCAAGTCATTGATTTAATATATGGATCATTCTCATCCAGAGTGAGCTATACATTACTGAAAGATTTTGTTAAATAATGCCAGACCATATTCATTGGTCCAAAAATAAGTTTAATCTTAAAATGTTTTAGAGTAACTCTCATGTTTTGTCAATTTCCTCTTAGAATTTTTCAAAAATAGTGGATCGAAACATAAACCGCTCCCATTTTTAGCTTTCAAAAATTTTCTTAAAATTCCCGGCTTATATTCGTAAATACTGGGCTGATTGTGCTCCGGAAAAAATCTAGATATCCGGATTTTTCGCTGTGATCCAGAAGTTTCCGGAGATCGAAGGTTCAGACATTTCAAAAAATCATTGATCACGAAAGTTTCCGGAAATCAAATTTTCAAAGGTGGAACTTAGTTTGTTTGTAAGGGAGAGCCGGAGAGATACTTTATAACATTATATTCAAGATTAATCTTAATTTTTTATCAGTAAATAGTTATTATAATCATAAACTCAAGAAAGAAAGACATATTTGTAAATTTCAATTATAGCTTCAGGTCATCATGGGTATGTGTAAATAGCTTAGGTATGTGTAAAATTTTAAATATATTTTAAGTAAACTTAAAAATATTGAAAACATTGAAAATATTGAAAAAAGGAAAAAACCTTTTTTTTCTTCTAATTTTTCGATTTAAACTTCTTTTTTTTTTCTTCTTTTTTCTTTTTCTTTTTTTTTACTCAAGAAATTTTCTGGAATTTTGACTTGAGTTCACAATCACCCCTGTAAATATAACGCTAATCCTAAAATTAGATTGCTTTTGTCAAAATTAAGAAGGAAAAGGGGGGTTACCCCCTTTTCACAACACCATAGGAGTTGTCTGTGATTTATTTTTTTGAAAAAAAAAGAGGGGGAGGAATCCTAAAAGTAAAAAAAAAAGGTGCTTACATAATATTTGAAAGCAATTAGATTGCTTCTCTTTTATTTAGGACCATCGGTTAGCCTGTTCACAACACCATTCAGCTCTGCACCTTCTCAACTCAGCTTTGAAAAAAGAGTTATCCTACTTCTTCCCCTACAGTGCTCAGTGCGGCTCAAAAGATCTTCAGCTTACATTCACTACAAAAGTAATTAAATGATATGTCTTCCTTTGTGTTTCCCTTGTGTCTGATTTTTTGAAAAAATCTGACATCCATCTTCTTTTTTGTTTTTGATAGGGAACTATAAGCGATGGACAGCTACAAAGCATAGAAAACTTTGTTAATGATTGCATTTCTAAGGATATGCCTGTGAACAAAGGGTTAGTTCCTTTGAAATCACTGAAAGAAATTCCAAATTACAAGACATCATTGGTAAAAGTATGTTATGTTTCTTTTTCGATTTTATATTTTAAGTCCTTTTTATGTTGTATGTACTAAAAATAAAAGTTATGTGGGATGTCAAAGTTGATCAAGTACAATATTTATATTAAATTTAGCATTGTTTTTACTCATAGGTGATCTTTTTTCTAGATTTCCTTCTTGTTTTTAACTTTTTTTTATTGAGTTTTACAATTTTTTTTGTAACTAAATAATCATTTGAAATTTTTTTTTTCAGAAATAAATAGTGAAATCTTTAAACATAAATTCATATTCTTTTTAAAAATATTTTTGACAAAAATAAATAAAAAAAACTTTGTTGAAAGGTGTCAAAAATTAAGTCGAAGGACGTTATGAAGTTGATTCACACTATCATGAAGACGCAAAACTATAACAAATATATACTTACAATCCATAAATGCTAGACTTACTTCGAGGAAAACATGTTATACAAATACATTGAAAAGAATTATAAAACTGATAGAATTATTTACATTAATGCAGTTTTTTTATATCAATAAAGTGTAGATATTAACAAGATACATTGAAAGTTAAAAAAAAATTTAATTTTATTTCAAATGACTTGTTGCACATAATTTTTAGAAAGCCATTCAGTGCTTTTCCTAGATTTTAAAATTTTCTTTCACGGCAGATTGGTGTGAAATCAGAACACCTTTTTCAACCCACTTCCTTCCATAAATTTGCAATACACGAAAATATAAATAAGAAAATTTTAAACAACAAACTACAGTTAAATATAGTTATTTAATGAAATCAATAAATTAATGAGTAAAAGAAAAGAAAGTTAGTGTGTACAATATTTATCGAATTGCTTAAATAAAAATAAATAAACAAGTCTTAGTCACGCAATTCCTAATTTGTGGTGTATTGTTGTTACTTGATTCACTGGAAACATTTGTAGTTTGTTTTTTAATACTTTAAAATTGATGAGAAAAATATTTATGTTTGTTTAATTTTTGCATAACTATTTTTTTTTAATTTCTTATTACTGAGAAATAGCTGTTTATAATTCACATCTCTTTTCTAATTATCTCAATAATTAAATTCTTGTGAGATTTTAACCCCTCCAAAAGTATGAANACTTGCGTGAGCAAATCACGTTCGAAGGTCACCAATGTGGGGGCGGAGTTATCAGACCATACCAACCTTCATCTATCAAAAGGTACCTCGTGATAGAATCAAGTTAGCATGCTTTATATACTACTGAATGATGTTTTAACTTTTGTAATGGTAGTTACGCCACAAATACTTTAAAATTGATGAGAAAAATATTTATGTTTGTTTAATTTTTGCATAACTATTTTTTTTTAATTTCTTATTACTGAGAAATAGCTGTTTATAATTCACATCTCTTTTCTAATTATCTCAATAATTAAATTCTTGTGAGATTTTAACCCCTCCAAAAGTATGAAAAATTTAAATTGCCTCTAAAAACTCCAAGAGAGACTAATTTCTTAATGCTGTATTAGTTGTGTGTTGGTTATTTATTTTGTTCAAGATTAAAGTGTCTGCTACTTTATAAAAAAAAAATTAAAATTTGTTTCTTTAAAAAAAAATTAAAGATTTATTTCTTTTGAAGACTGTGTTATTTAAAAATAAATGTAAAGTTTTTTTTTATTTTTAATAAAAAATTTATATTTAAAGCCTTTTTTCTTTGTCAGGAATGCAAAAACATGGTTCCTATTGTTTCTATTGGAAAAGAAAATTCTTTTATATCAGTTGAACCTTGTTGTGGAACGTAAGTATATATATTTGCTCCACTTTCCTTTATAAATTTAGTAATTATAAATTTACTATCCTTCTCAAAAAAATTAAAACTCAATTTAAAAGTAATTAACAAAATTTATGAACAATTGTAATTAAGAAGTTACTATTTTTTAAGGAAAAACGTCAATTATAAAAAGTTCATTCTTTGTTTTTTCTTATCCTGTTTTAGCATCTAAATATATTTCCTCCAAGTTACAAATATTTTGGTAGATTAACTGTACATTAATAAAAATAGTTTGTTCCTTCAATTTCCGTCTTCCCGTTGTAATTATGGTATATGTATATATATATACTTTGTTACTGCTACCATAAACTAAGAATAATTTTCTCTACATTAGTAACATTTCTTCCTTTTATGTATTATTTATGCTTGTTTATTTTTTTTATTGCTAATACTATGATAGCACAATTGTTATTAATTTTTCATATTGGAAATAGAACATAAATAGTTTTAAAGAAAAATTTTCTGATTGCATTAAAAAAAAATCAGAATGCTACAAATAAGCAAGTCTTATTATCTTACTAAGTAAAATATTTTTTTTATTAAAAACTTAAATTGAAATTTTTGAGGAATAATTGCTTTTTTGCTCTCTCATTGATTAAATAGACAGTGATAAAACTGTGGCTACTTGTATGGAGGCAAATTGGGAAAATTTGCTAATGACCAGTTGTAGCAATTTTAATTGTGAACACTTTTTAAAAGATAGGGCCACTTTTTCCAAATTAAAAATTTTAAAAAATTGAAAAAGCAATGGATATTAATTATGTAAGGTATTTCTTTGACATATTCTCAACATATGATAAATATTACAATATCTATTTCTAAAATAAATTACCAAATTTGATAAAAATTTAAATTTTTTTTAATTATTTATGTTTTTAAATATATATATATAACCGTCATTAAGCAACTGACCCAATTGTAGTGTGTCTTTTTTATTAATTTTATTTTATCACCGTAATATTTTAAATAATATTTTGTTTTAGACATGTTTCCTCCACTGCTGAACTTGGCCGTTTTATAATCCTCTCACATAAATCAAATAAAAATAAGGAAAAAATAATCAGAGCTGTTTGTGGGAAACAAGCAGAAGTAGTTAAATCAGATGGTGATGTTTATAACAAGACCTTGCTTGAACTTGAAGAATATGCATCGAATTGTTTGAAAACCTCAAAAGTATGTTACATTGTAAATATATATTAAATATTTTCTTTTCCTTTTTTTAAAAAATAGTCTGTATAAATATTTTTTAAATCAAAGCAAAAAATAATAAGAAGAAAGAGCTTCTTTAGTTCATATTTTTTTCTTCCAAATTCTATTTTACCAAATTATGAAAAATGTTACACAGTTATCGTTTTATAATTTCATTCAAAATCTTCATAAAAGTACAAATTCATTCTCCTACTGTTTTTTACTGCACAAACTGGAATAATTTAAGAAATCTTTCCTTTAACGTGTTTCTTCTACATTTTAACAAAAAAGAAATATTTCCACAAGAAATAAATATTTTCCAGCTTTTTTTTTTTATCTAAAAAATTTTAAAACCTTGGCCCATTTTGATGGGCCAATCTATTTATATTCTACTTTTTTTTCTTTTTTTTTTGCAATATAAATTTTAAAAATCTGTATATTATGTTTATTATTTCAATTTGTTTTGGCATTCCAATTAAAAAAAAAATCTTTATTTATTTAACAAACATTTATTTATACACTAACTGAGACAGTAATTAGGTTATTCTTAGAAATCAGAAAATTGCAGTAGAGAAAATAAATTTTTCATTAACCTATTTTCATTAAATCATTCTTCTATTCTTGATATAATATGGTTATTGTACATTTTTGATTATTGTTGTTTATTTACAACTAATTGACCCTAGGAGCTATTCAAATACAGTTGAATCTCAATCCATTGTTTCCACATCTTTCATTTTCCCATATGCATTCTCTTTTTTTAAAAGTCCCGTCACAAATTTATTTTATTCTCATATAGTTATTAATGCCCATCTAGATTACTTTTGAAAGAAGCAGATTTCATTGCCTATCTTTCAGAAATTCTATCTGCATTTAAAGAAAAAGATGCTTTTTACCCTTTTATGGCAATAAAATTCCTCATGCTCATGATAAAAAAGAAAATGAGGATTTGTTAATATTCAGGGGAAATGTTTAAATAGAGACAGGGAAAGGAAACCACAACCAGTACCGAAATTTGCTAAAGGAAATTTGCGATTTTCTGTTTTCACTCAAATTTGCAGAAAATGAACAGGATACTGTTACAAATGTTGAAAATTTATTTTTTGTGCTAAAAAGAAAATGATTTGTGTACTTTAAAAGTTTCAATTCTTTTAAATAAATAAATATTATGTTTCAAATGAATAAATGTAATAAAATAACCGTAATTCATCAGTTTTTAACAGTGTAAATTTATTATTTTTCATATACTTCCTATTGTTTGCAATGAATGGTTACATGAAAATAATCAGTATAGATTCCATTTACATAAGCATGACAGATATTTATAATTTGATTGTTTTTGCTAACAAGAGAGAAAGAGACTAAAAAAGTGTCTAAAATATGCTTGCATAACATATGAAAAGCTTCCCTGAAAAAATGTGTTATTATTGAAACGTTATATTATTGAAACGTTAAAATAAAGTTATTTCTTTTAAATTCATTTGTAATTCAAAATTTATTTAATTCAGTGTAAAAAAAGTTTACATTTTATGTTAACTTGATTTTCCTTCCTCTGTTTTTCATTAGAACACAAGATGGAATGAATATTTTTAAACATAGAATCATTATGCATTTTTTTTTTATTTATATTAACACTTTAAAGGCTTTAGTCCCTGTGTATGAAATTTCGTTGCTTTTTTCACCTACATTTAGGTAAGTAAAGTACAAACCATAATTATTAATCTAGAAGCATAAAATTTCTTTTATATTGATTGTTATATAATGGAATAAATATTTTATTTCTTTCCGATTGAATGACAGGGGAAAAGGGGAATTTTTGATTGAATTCAAGGGGAAAAGTTTGCATCTGAAAGCTCATTAAAAGCTGGAACAAACACCGAAAAAGTTGAAAATAGCTAATAGATATGCTCACTTTGTTCAATATCTTATAGCATCTAGTGCTCTCACTTTTCGATAAAAATCTAATGATTTTAAATTATCATTATTTTATGTTAGAATTTATTAATTTTAATTTTTAATAATTACTTACAGGTGAATAATTTGGAACTTTGGGACTGTTTGCAAGAATTAAAATCTGCCAAAGTGAGTAATAAAATAAATATTTTTATTCATAGTTATATAATGCAGTGATACCGCAAGATTTTGAAGACAATAAGGTACAGGTCTTTAGAACCCAGGACTTCAAAATTTCTGGGTATTTACTCCTGAAAGTGGTTTTTTATTTAGAATATAAAGCATTTAAAACATTCTAAATTTTCAAAAATTACTAAATTCTTTTTGAAATAAAATAAATTTGCAATCCAAATGTAGATAATTCTCTAAATGTTTATCCATTTATTAATATGTGCATTTAGTATAAGGATTTCATCTATTGATAAACTAAATAAAGAATGTTAAATCAAAGAAACTGTTATATTTGAGAATTCAATATTTTTAACTAGAATTGCTGAAGCATTAGAGCCCAAAAAGCAGCAATGTAATTTGATACTCAGAATTATTTTAATTTGTGTCTTTTGTAATTAATACAGATTTTTTTTTTTTTAATTTTGAAAGTTTTTCTATTCTGCCTGCATAAATTTACTGACCCCTCTATTTTTCCCAATAAAAAAAATATTTATAAGTCACAATACGTCCCAAAAAAAGTGCCATGAAATTTTTTTCCTGTCTCCTTTATGATTTTCGGCATTTTTGACATTCTGTAGCTAGTAAGCTACATATTTGACGTGCTATAGCAAGTGCTGTGTCATAGTAATGTCTTTTAATCAATTTAAATAAAGCACTAATTAATCAAAGTTTAGCAAATAAAGCTGTAGAATTTAATTTCATTTTAAATATCTTCGTAGCCATGGCACATCTTGTGATTTAATCCTTCGTTACACACTGAGTCGATGTAACACAACTTCATTTTGATCAAATTATTTCTTTATCAATTTACATGTAACATTTTAAGTGCACTTATATTTTTTTTTTAACTTTGCATGTTATGTATGGTTTATTAAAAATATTCATTTGCTACTGTTTTATTTTCTTATATTTTTATTTAACTTTATTTTTAGAATACTAAACACTTATATTTACTAAGTGTTTTTTTCCATATCATACGTGTACATACATATTCCTCTTCACTTCGAATTGAAGCATTGGGCTTCTATCATAGCTTTCCATCTCACTGTATTTATGGCCAGGTATTTTGCCTCTTTCTGTGTCTTTCCTATTTATTTTCAATTTGTTTACAATCGTCCTGCCCCAAGTATTTTTAGGTCTTCCTCTTTTTCTATTGCCCTGAGAGTTCTAATCAAAAACTTGTTTTACTTTAAATTTTTCAGGTTTAAGTAGAACAAGACCAATCCATTTCCATTTTTTATTTTCCATACCAATCGGTTCCTCTTTTGCTTTTCTAAGGATTTCTACATTACAAATTTTGTGGAATCACTTGATATGCAAGATTATTCTTAAACAGTTGTTAATAAATGCTTGAAGATTTTTCTTGTTATTTTTATTGCGGTGCCATGTCTCAGATCCATATAGTAAGACAGATTTAACTCTAGCATTGAAAATTCTAACTTTTGTTGTGTTTTTGTTTTTCCATAATTTATTGAGAATAGTGAAGCTGCTTCGGGCTTTCTTTAATCTATTTAGTATATCTTCAGCAATTCCTCCTTTGTTGTTAATTATACCTCCAAGAGATGTAAAATTCCTTACCTTCTCTAGTTCATTATTTTCTAAGGATATGTCATTGAATTGTTTAGTATAAATTTTCAAGCTTTTTGTTTTATTTTGGTTGATAATGAACCCCGTTTTCTTATCCTCTACGTTTGAATTGTTTGTGTTTGTTAGCCTGTCTTGAAGGGTGATGGTCAGTTAAAATAAGTGGTCTGCAAAATCAGGATCAAAAAGATATTCAGCATAGTTCCATCTTATACCCATTTTATTCTCTGATACTCTCTTCATTATCCGGACAATAGCAATTAAAAAGATTGTTTGAGACAGTATACAACCCTGTCTAAGATCCAAATAATTTTTTTAAGGATTCTGATTGTTGGTGGGCATGGATAACTTGAGCATTTTAATTTTTATGTATATATTTGTGTTAATATTTACTACCGTCATGACAACCGTTATTTAACTATCATGACAACCGTTATTTCTTAAAGCTTAAGTTTAATTTTTCCATATTTCTGCTGCAAAATTTATGTCTGTAAATCCACATACAATGTTATTATTGTTATTGTATGCAGGACTATAATCTAATTCCACACATTTTTGTTGCCGTAATTTAGACTTACAACGAAATAAAATGTATATCATGATAAAAACAAAATTTTTTGTCTAATTGTGTCATTAACTGATTACTTTCAGAGATAGTCATCCAGTGTTTTTTAAATTTGTAATTGTAGGTTCGCCAAGAGGATGAATTACCTCTCCTCTTATTCCGAAGTCATCAGGATATATTGTCAGAATTAACTAAAAGAATAACTCATGTTACATCAGACTTTGTTCAAAAAGGATTTGAAAATGTAAGTATAACTTGAACATTTGAAATTTTTATGAAAACAGTTATTATTTGGACTTTTTTTTTTAATATAAATTTTGGTGTGAAAGAAATTTTATAAAAAACTGTATGAGTTTCACTCCATTTAATTTGCACATATTTTTTTTTCATTAGGTCGTCTTTTACGTCTAATTATAAATTAAATTAATATGCATGATGGGTTTTTTTGAGCTAGTATTTTTTTTTCTTCCGACTTAGGCTTTTTAATAATTGATGAGTTTATGTTGTTTGACCAACTGCCTTCCAAAGTGATCAACAAAGTTAAGATGTTGATGACATAAAAATTCTTTACGAATACAGAAAAATCCTTTAAGAATCATAAAAAAATTACATTAAATTAAAATGTAATGTCCTTAAAAATGTTCAAAAACATATTTTATAATAGCTTTTTCATTTAAAAAAATAGAAATTGTTATTATCTATAAATTTAGTAAAAAATAAGGTAATTAAAACAAATATGTAATTTAAGAATAAAATAAAATGTAAATAAATGCGTGATGAAGATAGAAATTGCTTTTAAATTGTAGTATCAATCATCAAAAATGCCAGAATTGTATTTATACTTATAAAATTTTTCTATTTCATAAGTTGTTTATAGTCAATAAATTAAATTGTTATTGAAAATATATAGTCAAGTTTTAATATGTCTAATTATGTGTATAATGGTTACATATAAATTTTTAACTTTTACCAAAATTTAATGTTTTGGATAGTTAGAGCCAGTACAACCCAAGTGTCCTATCCAAAACCAGTTTTTGATTTCAAAAACCTCAACCCAGTACAGTTATCAAAGCAATAAGGATATGCAACAACATATTAATCATTTGCTTTATTTTCTTACCTTAAGATGGTTAGTTTCAATAAAAGTTTAGGAAAACTGAATCATCTCAAAACTTTCATTTTTTCTTATTCTTGTTTTGTGTTTTTTAAGTTAAAAATTTTTCAAGTCTGTTATCAGTTGCTCTCCATGTAAGTTGGTCCCCCTCTACCCCTAAGGTTTCAAATTACTAATTTATATGATTAAAAAAATATTTGTTTACAGTTAAAGTTAGAACAAAAAGAACATATCGTCTCAGAACTTTTGTTCCCTACTGTAGATAAAAAAAACTTGTTTAAATAAAAATTTTATATGCATATTTTATGTTTACAGAAATGTGCAGATATCTCTATCAGCTTTGGGGGGGTGAGCACCTCTGAGTGTAATCTACCACAGTAACTTTGTTCTTTTTGTTCAAACAGGTCAGAAGGAAATTTGTAATTGTATCATATCTTTCAAAATGCAAAAATTCTTTCCAATTATTCGGAAAAAATTTAACCATACTTAAAATATCAGAGCAATCAATCATATTATTTAGATTTTTATCAACAAAAAAGGAGTAAGACGAATCTATACTACATTTCAATGATGGAACGTCAAAAATATGTTGCATCGTAGAGACCAAAACATCACATAGGTTATGCTTATTTGTTTCATAAAATGTGGAAAATAATTTTGAACTCTTTTGATGCATTGCTTTTTATTTCTATAGTAAGGACTTCAGATAATACTGCAATATTCTATTTATTTTATATCAACTCTTTTTTATGTATATTTTATAGATGAAATCTGAAATGCCAGCTATTTTGGAGAAGTTCAAAAATAAGAGTTTTATTGTTCACATGCTGGAATGTAGGGGAGACGGTAGGAAAATATTAAACTATGCAATTGAGAACTCCTCTGACAAACCCTGTATTTATTTCATCAGAGAAGGCAATCAATCTGTGATATGCTCTTGCAGTGTTCCTAAGGTACTAATATGCATTTCTATTTATGTCATTCATTATAAAAGTTTTTGCAACTCCATGTAATATCATCAGTGAGCTTTTTTTTCTGGATATAACTCATATTGCGTGTTTAAAAAAATGGATGTAACTCAAAATGCTTGTTTTATTTTATTTTACAACCGTCGTTGAACAGTCGACCCAATTTTAAAATAACATTGAAGATCAAGTTATATATATTTTTCTTTCCAGTGGAAAAAATTATTCGCCAATACTTTCGCCAAAGCATGATTTAACATTTCAGACTGTCCAGAGAAAGAGATCACGGAAGATATGTATTTTTTTGCTTGATTTTATAACATTCAATCAATCATATCGTTCATGATATAAGTGAAGCCACTCCTATACTCGTATTCGTTTTCCAACACATTTGTAAAATTTTCATCTTTCAAAATTCATTTACTAAGAAGTACTTCACATTTATAACCTATGGCTCATTTATTTTTTAGCCTAAGAATTTTAATACATAATAATTATTTTATTTTTGCAATTGTTTCTAATCCGAGGGCCACAACAATAATTCAGGAATCGCAAAACCTGCACATGTATTAAATAAAGGTAAAGAAATTCAATAGCAAGACGAAAATAGTAGTTTATCTTAGTACTATAAGATATTGAATATTTTCTGTTATGGAATTTCGCTCTCAGAACGAATTAAACTAACAACTGTTTCAACTATGACTTGCTCACAGTTTAAAAAATACTGTGTTTGCAAATTTCCTTTATGGGAATAATATCAAAATCTATATAAATGGCTACGTTGATGGTTAGGAGTGCATTAAGGTTCTTTATAACAAGATTGAGAAATAGCTACCTTAAATGCATGTTTTTTTTTCATAGCTATTTAATAAAGTCTAATAAACGTGTAATAATATCATTTGTGTTTCTTAAATAAATAAATAAGTAAAAGTGAGAATATGAAATTTTGTAAGTGCTGAATGACAAAACAATATTTGCTAAATAGTGAAAATTTTTGGGAGGTCCCAGAGACCTCACATTTATTTAAATTCATTCAGATTAATTCATTAAAAAATCAAAGAGAAATAATGAAATATTTGCAATTTCATAAGTGCTTAATGCTCTTTTATTTAATCAGAAAAATTAAGTACATCAAAAATAACAAAGAAAATCTGTTCCCTCTCATTGAAATAGCATTAATTTTCCATGAGCGTACATTCGCGTTTGTAGGAGTAGTCCTAGTGATAAAGTAGCATATTCGCCGACTAATTTATGTATAAGTAATACATAATTCTTAATGCTTAACCACAAGTGCATTCTGATTACGTCCATTGACGGGCCCACGGAAATTTGTACCAATGAGGTATGAAAATTTAGTTTCATTAGAACCTTGTTGTTACTCACTGTTACCTTGTTGTTGGGCTCACTTTAAAAGTAGTTGCCAGGAATCGCTACAAAATACTGTTTTTTGTATCGCACTACTCACTACACTACTTTTTTTAAAAAGTAGCACACTACAAACTACGAAAAAGGTAACAACTACAGTAGTTTCACTACTTGTAGCATGCTACTTCCGGCGGCTGTTCTTATATTGATATAGTGTTGTATTAATATCTCTCTGTTTATTGATATCTTTGTAAATTGCTTTTTTCCAGAATTTAATTAGTTCAACTTTTTCTGCCTTGCTGTGGATAAATCCTGTAGCATCTCTACTGGAAGGCCGAGCTCGAACTCTCTTTAAAGATCCTGAACTTTTTTATTCTGTTGTGTCTAAAAGATTAGATAGATTGGATGATGCAGTGAGTTTAGCAGAAAAGTTTGTGAGAAACAATTTGAAAGGAAGATAATAGTTTATCAATGTTATGTAGCCAATGTAAATAGTTTCACAAATAAAGTATTTTATCTTACTTATTTTTGAAGTTTATGTAACAAAAGAAAAAAAAATATGTCTAATGCGAAAGAGAAAGAAAACAATTGCAGAATAAATTAAGAACTTGAGATAAATTGATTATCTAAAACTTATGACACCTACTAAATGGCTTGATAACTGTACATGATGCCTACTAAATGATTTGATTTTAAGTGAAAAACTTAAATTATTATTTTAAAAGTGAAGTAATGGCTTATTTATTTTTATTAAAAAAAAATAGACTGTTTCTCAAAATATTGTATCATAGAATAAACAACAATAAGTTGTCAGTGGCTTTTCGATCAGAATTTGAACAAAGAGAATAGTTTTTTTATATAATGCAGTTTTTTTTTAATACTTTTGTATTAAAATCACCATACATACTTTGTTTTTAAAAATAATACCTATTTTTATTTTTAAATTAAAGAAATTAATTACAATAGCAAATGCAATGGGAAACAATTTTTAATACCATCATGATTTATTTTCATACACTTGTATTCTTGCCAACTTTCATGCAATTTCTTGGCAGATTTTGATTTACATCACTTGACTTTGTTTATAATCATTGATTTATGCCTATATATTTACCAGGATGCGTAGTACTTTTTAAAAGTGCTTAAGCAACAGAAAAATATGTTATCCTAAAACCATTTGTAGTAATAAAGCTAATAATTTTTAACTCGTACAAAACATAAAAATGTTTGTGTCTTAAATATTAGAATTTTAACAGTTACTTAGAAATTTGTTGAAATAGCGGATTCCTCATAATATGCTATATTTGTTATATCGAGCTTTTACTACATCTTTTCATAATTTGCCTATAACCTGCAGCTTTTAATGGTCTTAAAAAAATTTCCTAACCTAACCTAATTTTTTTCAGTTTATAGCAGAAAGTTATAGAGTTTCAGTTGTTCTGCAGAGTTTCTGTTTCTCTATAACGAGAAATGGAGGCAATACTGACAGGTAAAATGCCTAATCATAATACAATGGGTGCTAACTCTACTGATTTTGTCCAGTTTATTTTTAGTTTCCACACTTAATCAAAACTCCTCCTGTTTTATGTACTATAACTGTTAATAAGTTTCTGGAAAAAAAATTCCTAACAACTTTTTTTGCACCACTCATTGTTTCCCATTAATTTTTTTATACAACTCGTTGTTACTGGATTCTATTTAAAGCAGTAAAGAAATAAGCAGAATATCCAAAACTAAATAATTTTTATTTTCACAAAATTATTTCAATAAAATTTTTACAAACTATTTTTGTTTTAAATCTAGGATACCTAGTTTCACTTTGTATCTAAAAACCATCTATTCTTGCAAATAATATATATATCAGATCTTAATATGACTATTTCCTAAGAAAACTTAACTTTATTCATAAATATAGCATGACATTATTTGTATTCTTCATATATTTTTTGTCTTACATATACAACAGAACTGAATAATTTTTGTACAATTCTAAATTAAACCTTTTCTGAAATTAAATTGTATTATTTTAAAACTAATAATGTTTTAATAATTATTAAATTAACTGAAAAATTATGTAACTATTCATTTTTCTAAATGATTTCATGGAAATTTTGCATATAAAAAACTGCTCTTTACTTTACAGTTTCTAAAGTTCCTAGTAACGAATGAGTAACTCAAAATATCTAGTAATGAAAATGACATTTTAAGAATAATTACTATGTCGAACATAAATTTTGTTGTGAAAAGGAAATTCAAATATGCTCATTTCAAATCTCTGAAGTAAGTGTTTCTTTGTAAGCTGCAGAAAGTTTGCAATTCTTCTAGTTCTTCTGAATTTTAATTTACTATTGTAAAGGTTTTGGTATTATCTAGGCAAGAGTTCTTTCCTAAAAATTTTGTGTTTCCCATTACAATCTCGTTCTTTGTGTTTGAGTGCATCCTGCAATCTTATTTGATTGTATTCCTTTGTTCTTGAGTGTATCCTGCAATTGCATTTGATTGTATTCTTTTGTGTTTGAATGCATCCAACAATCTCATTTGCTGCTCCACTTGATACCATTGTGAGTGCTGCTTCTGTTAAGCAAACTCTCATGAAATAGAAGATGTCTTAAGTATATTCGGTTATTATAGTTTCTTGATAGTTAGTTCGAATTTATTTGCGCATTGTAATATGTTCTATAATTCAAATTACAGATTGCGTTACGATTACACAGCTCGTTTTAACGTGTTTGTTTAAAAAAAAAAACAATAATGAACCATAAACGCTCAAAATTTAATTTCACGAACATTACAAAATACAAAAAATATTAATAATAATAACTAAGCAAGTAAATAAATAGCTTAAAATATATGAAGAATAAATAAATGAATACATTAAATGATAAATAAATATAATAAATTTTGTTAAAAAATAAATTAATTAATAGTAAATAAATAAATACAAGGAGTAAATGCATAAAATAAATGATAAAAAATTAATTCGAGAAACTAAATAAAATAAATAATACATTAATAAATTAAAGGAAAGAACAGAATAACAAAAATACTATAAATAATAACTAAATAAATAATGAATATAAGGAGATTAAAACTGAGATTATTGATTGAGAATCAGATGAATAAAAATAATAATACTGTTTGCAAAGGAGAATGAAGTTTAGATTTGAAATGACATATAAGAATTGAAGCTTAAATTTAAATTCAGATAAAAGGAAATTTATCCTAAATCGAGAATCAGCAATTAACCATTATTTGCTTTTTAAATCGCAAATGTACAAAAAATTAAACCCATTTCCTTAATGGAGGCATACATGCTGATAAATTATTCTAAATCGATGTCATAATTAGCTTGAACGAAATTAAAACGATATCTACTTTTGTCCTTTATTTATATCGCTATAAACACATATTTCGGACTAGACCTCATTCTAGAATCTTCCAACGATTCTCAAATGCTAATACATCATTCTTATGTACTCTTCATTGCTTCAATTATTTTATATTTTTATCCAGCGTTTCATTTGCAATTTTAGCATTTGCCGCCAAGAGAACACTTGGACGAAACTTTTTTAAACTTTATATTTTCATTGGGCTTCAAAGCATCATTCACTCAATATAATCTGGCGTGAGGTGACATGGAAAGTATGCCAAAAGTTGTGCCGAGTGTTGCGATAATGAACACCCATAACAACAGTCGGTCAAATATTAGCGCCACCTGTTGCCACTCTAGTTTTATTTTGTCTTTCCGGTCTTGTTCAACAACTCTTATCTCATTTTTGTCTATGCTTTGGCTGATTTTTTCCAGAATTTTCAAAAATTGCATCTCAAAGTTCTCTTTTGGATTTTTAATTGCTCTGTGAAGATTCGTGATGCAGTTGTTGCTGCAATACAGCTTTGGCGAAATTCTGCCGTTTTCGCAGTATTCTCTTTCAGGCATGATTTTTGTATTCATCCTACAATAAGCCTGAAACATTAAAAATATAGTTATATAAACTAAACGTCACTAATATTTGTGCAAAAACAAGATAATTTAATGCTTCAAAGAGGATGGGTAAAAAAGCTAGGAAATTGAGGAGTTGTCGGAATTCAGAACTCTCCAGTAAACTGCTTAACTGATCATATCAAATTTCTAAAACATTTAGGTCATGCTTGAATGGAAAAAGCACAATGTTTTACAGTTATTATTGAATTTTCTCTCAGATAGGTTCCTGGAGGGGGGGGGGACAAAGGGTCATTTACTTTAGAGACAATTTTTATGAAATATGATGGGGATCTCAACATTCTTTTGGTTCCACAGATTTTTTTTTCTCTTTCTAGAATTTATAAATGTATTGGCAATAATTATGACTCCTGTGCAGCTAAAAATTGTATTTGCGTTGTAAACAGTTTTTATTTAAAATTTTCGAAATTTATTTCGCAAATAATTTCTGTAACATCTCGAAACAAGGAAATAAGTTGAACTAAATCAACTAATTTCAAATTGGTAATGTAGTGACAAGTAGTTACATAAAAAATACTAATATCTCATAGCAATATATGCATTTCAAATATGTCTTGCTGATTCAAAAGTGTATTTAATGCACTATAATTTTTTTAAGAGAATTGTTTTCACGTATCTCATATATTAAAAGTGGAAATGCACCTCTCAGTGCAAAAATTGTGACAAGCAGAAGAAAATTGTTTCATTGAATTTAATTATTGATTGAGTAAAAATAAAACGCGTTAGAAAATTTTTGGGGTTATAGACGACTTTTGAAACTGTTTCTACAGTCTAGGTTTTAAGAAAAAATAAAATATATTTTTTGAAACAGAGAAAACTATTTTTATGTAATGTATTTTATTAATAATAAAATTAAGAATTAATAAATAAAACTAATTTTTTTTACAATAAATTCTAAAATAAACTATGTCGACTGAAAAGTAAGTACTTTAAAATTAGATATAAAATATTTAGCTTATTAAAAAAAAATTTAAAATTTCGAGTAAAGTACGTAAATCAAGTCGCTAGGAGAAATAAATAACGCTTTACTAACATTTTCAGAAAATTTAGAACATTTCATTCTTTCAAGGGATTAATTCAAGTGCCCTTCCTAGGTCCCAAACTTCCCGTCCTATCCTAGTTCAACAGTGGTTATTTGTTTGTGTGTTGTGCAGATGTCTTTAATGTATTAATGAAAGAAAAGAGAGCCTTACGGGATTGCTGGCATCCATCGTGTCCGGAACATTGACCCTTATAAAGAGCAGCTTGGCCAGCACACCAAACACAAACTTTTTGACGAGTGGAGGCACTTCGTTTCCGTGCAGGCCACGATGGTGAATATTCAGGGTGACCACTGACATTGCCGTTGCTAAGGACACCAAGGTCATCACCACAGCATAATATAGACCTGAAAAAAACATAAACAATTTTTAAAGATATAAGTAATGAAGTAATAGTTGAATATTTTCTTATTGATGTGTCACAATTTAAGGCATCATTTAATTGCAAAATGTGCGCGAATTAAAATGTTATATTGAAATCTAGTTTGACAGATTTTAGCCATGAATTTGATTTCCATTTTTCCGGTTTTTTAAAGTAGTTAGTTGCATGATCGAATTGCTAGATGCTCTCAAATCAATAAAGTGTGGAAGTGATCATGGATATAAAGTTAAGAAGATCGTTTGACTGGGATTAAATCAACAATATTAAGGTCTTGGTCTTTAATCTCGAATGAATTTGGTAATCAGAAGTGTATCAAAACATATATTTAGTTTTTGTATCTGGTTAAGATTTTAATAACACTGCAACTAAATCATGGACCAAGTGTTACATATAGTTCTAAAAGAAAAAAGGTGGTTGGATTTTACTTCAATGACGTAAAAAAATGTGTTGTACTGCTTTATCATACCCAAAAGTTAACCTCTTCAATACCTCGGTCCACGTACGTGTACTTTAGCTTCTGAAAAAACTGAATTTCTGAATGCAGAAATGATTTCAATAGAATTCCACATAAATAGAAGTGATTTTCGAAAATTGACAGGTAATCCGCGTGTTCGAAAACGATAGTAATTTTAAATATTTTATAATTTAATTATTCTGAAAATATTTCCTTTCTTTTGACTTAGTTCTGTGATTTGTATGAATCTTTTAAATTTATATTTACTTAACATTTAAAAATAATACAGTCAAGAACATTCATATCCACGTTTGTATACCCTGGTACGTACGACGAAATTTATGACAGCTTAGTAATCAAGTGAAATCTCATAGTATTATGAGTATTTAAAGGAAATCGAATGGCGTAGAGAACAAAAAATACTCACTGATTCACTAATATCAGATAGAAGTATACAAGAACACACATTTTTATAATAAGAACATATTTTATATTGTACATAGTATTATATGCATTATTTTGTGTTTGTAAATTAGTATACAAGATGGTCGTTTTCACTTTGAATCCTACAGTTTAAAAATGAATATTAAATATTATATTTGTGAGCTTTGTATTTAACTATTTAATCTATACAATTTGTCACACAAATGTGAATATAACGAAAAACTCAAATCGCTTAATTTGATAGGATAATAATTCGGTCAGAAAAATTATATTACAGCATGCCGTTGTATCTACAAAAAAACGAATGCGGGCGATCTTTCGAAAAAGATACTTCTTTGTGCAACCTATATATTATTAGAAATATTTAAATACCTAACTACATGCACCGAATATGATCAGTTTAAAATTCTATCTTAATCAACTAATTCCTCTATGATGTAATAAACTTTTGCTGGTAACAAGATCATCATTTTCTTAATAAAATAGTTAATTTACATATTTTCTGAAGTATTTTAAAGCAATTTAAGAAGTAATATTAAAAAATAAATGAATGAAAATAACGTCAATCAAAATAAAGCATTTGAGACAGAAATTTATAATTATGCATAGAAAAAAAAATGTGTTTAATTAAAGACATTTAAAACTTTACTATCCATTAAAGTAAAACGATTAAAAAGTTGTTGTTTTTTTTGTTAAAATTACAGATTTGTTTAATAATATCTCGTAATTACAAATGTTTAAAATACGTTTCTCCAAAGACGAAGTTTTCATGCAATTAGGAAACTGTCATTCAGATTTGATTTAATAAAAATCGTTTTTATTCTTTCTCATTTTGACGAAAATGTAACTCCTTAAATTCAATTATTTATTTTTGATGACATTTTTTGAGCATTTCGTTTCATGTCGATAAAAATGTTCGCGCCTGGAATTGAAATTTTGGACGCGTAATGAATGTTGATGAAAATCATTATTTCATCAGTCTGTTTCATTCGCTTATAAATTTAAAATTATTATTCTTGGAAAGTAGATTGCCCAAAGGGTAGTTTAACCAGCATTTTTAAATACTTACTAAGGTTTGGAATTAAGGTGCGTACAAACTAATTTTTTCAAACTTTAAAAATATAAGTTTTGATGAGCTAACTAGAAAAACACATTGAAATCGTTAGCAGAAATTTTTTCCGGAATTTAAAACATAATATTTTACTATTCTTTTAGGAAAAAAAAAACGAACTTAGAGAGTTTTTACCCCTGTTAGCACTGTTCACTAACCCTTGAGATTGCTTTTCATTCATTACTGTTTTTCTAAGTCGATTTTTGCCAGAACACAAAGAACATTATGTTAATAAATGTATAATTATTATAATTTTACGTCAGAACGTTAATGGTACGTAATTATAGTTATACGTAACGTATTATTCGCTAATTGTAATAAAATGAACGAAACTTTCGACAGCAACTCAAGCAAGAGATTGTAAAGTAAAGATCTCGAGAGATATAAGCAAGTTTTCAATTTAATGAATATTCATTATTTAAAGCAGAAAAAAAAAGTGAGAATAAGTCGGGGTAAAATTACTGACAACTGCAAAAACTTACGAACAAATTAAGAATCTAGAAAAAAAGTCTTGTTTGGTTCTCAATTCTGAGATTTTAAGAGCAACCAATGGATTTTTTTTACTACAAGTTTAAAACTAAATAATTCTCGAAATAATAATCGAATCTTAGCTTTTTTTTTTTATTTAATTGTATTCTTTATACATTTTTTCACACCTCTTCGTTATTTAATGCCTAATAGATTTTATGTATCAGAACAAAATGTAATCAGATTAGAAAACTTAACACAGTGGCAGTATCGCGTGCGGTTTTTCAATGTAGAGAGATAAGTTTTGAGAAATAACTTGAAAAACATAAAGCAAAACAAGTGAACAATAGTTTTCTGCAATTTTCGTCACAGTTCAAAATATGATGTTTTAAATATGTTGAAAATTAAATAAGAATCAAATAAATTTATTCTTCAAATTATTAGCCAAATATCAAAAGTATTCGCCAATTTTCGAAAGTCTTCGCCAAATGCAAATCTTAATAATTTTTTTATGAATCATTTTTTTCCATTGAAAACTATTTTATGGTAGTTTGTTTCAGGCTTATATCATTTGGACGCAGTTCTAATTGGTTATGCGGCGCATCCTTCTAAAATTGCTGGTTTCACGAATCCAGTTTCAGATATTCAGGTATCTCCAATCCAGGTTATATTGTTTCTGTCGTATGAACGAACTATTGTGATATTGTATAGAAGAATGAACAGAAATTTCAATGAAGTGAGGTAAGAGAAGCGCATAAATGAGAAACGTATAAATTGCATTTGAATTTAGTGAAAAATATGGGGCTCACCTATTAATGGCACAGTGTCTGAGGTGGGCGGCATGCTTTCGCCTATGACCATGAGGAAGACGGTCATAGACAGGAGGGTGGTAATGCCGAGGGTGACCTTCTCCCCTGAGTCAGAAGGCATATAGAAACTGAGCAGGGCAATACCTGTTATCAGCATGCATGGAAGTATTAGATTGAAGACATAAAACAATGGCCTTCGACGCAGGACGATGTGAAACGTCACATCAGGATAAGGCTCCTGTTAAAAAGAACAATTTGGCAGATATAGAATTCATTATTCATGTTTTACAGCGAACCATTAACTCCATCAGTTTTAAATAAACGTAGAAGAATGTATTTTGCTCAAAGAACTCTTAAGTTTTCGCCTTGTTTTTTAAACTCAGAAAAAAGCGAGAAATTTTTAAGTTTCTATTCCGAAGCTGAAGAAGTGAGGCATTTTTTCAAAGCGCGGGAAAACGGCCAAGTTTTTTGTACCGGTACAGCATCACGCTAAAGCTTAATTGCTAGTTAAACGTTGATTTAACTGTTTTCTTTAATTATTTTTAACTGAGTTTACGAAATTCTTTTAATCATTTGATTTGTTTTAATTTTAGGAGATACTTTTTTTTTCTTCTTTTTTGAAGATATCGACTGTAAAAGAAGATAAATTACACCATGTTTCTTAGCACTTGAAGGAAATAACGCTTTGACTTCACTTTAGCTTCTCTCGAATTTTCTTGCTCTCATTATCCTTATTTCTATACTAAATGTATACTGGTGGTCATTAAAATTACTGCACCAGCAAGGAATACAAATAGCCGAATAGTATTATTCACTGGATATATGCATTTTATTTTATTTTATAGCCGTCGTTGAACAGCCGACACACTTTTTGACTTCTAATTTTTAACTATATAGCTTTGTAATTTTGGACCCCATCCAGAAGATAAAGGATCAAGTATTGAGAAGATTTCTTATGAAACTAACCAGCATTTGAGTTACATAGAGCGGAAAACGTCGCACAGTTGGTCTGACGGCAAGGGGACTTTAGCCCATGATCCGTCTACCATTGTGGATATTTTACGTCAGCACTGTGGTTGGTGCGGAATTCGTATCGACCAGTAGTCGCTGGAATTAGAACATGGGTGGCCTCATTGGGAGATAAAAAAAAAGGAGCATGTGGTAAAATTTTAGGAAATCACGGTGTATAGACCACAACGAAATCAGAAGCAAAAATTTCAACTCTGGCAGAAATAACAATTTTTTACTAAGAGATTCGGGAACTTCAGAAAATGCAGCTTTAAAACTATGCCACGGACCGTGGTAATTTGTGAGTTGTGGTGAGTCAATCGCTTGACAATCATTAACTACGTATTTTTGTTTTCTCAAAGGTCAGGAGAACACACTGACTCTAGCACATGTCTTGATTCAAGGATGATCAGGACAATACAGACAGCATGCAGCTGTTGTCAGCAGAAAAATAAAGTTGAGGAGGCATCAAAGATTGGTCAGGGCCATGGGTCTTGACTCATCTGAAATGCTGTTTAAAATACCTAATGTTTTTAGGATGACACGCTTGATCTTTCTTGGGGCAATAAAAACACGTCAAATTCATCTGTAAGTTTCTATAGGTTTCTTTTCTTAATCTACAAGTTTATTTTTTCAATAGCTTCATAGATCCAATGGATTCAAGCTTCTCTAAAGATAAGTGGTTAAAATAAAGTTATTTGAAGTAAAGAGAAAGGGCCTTAAAAATGTGTTAAAACTAGTAGAAATTATGATATTTAAAGCAACAAGATTTTACATACCGACAGTGAATTTTCATTAAAATTTTGATAAAAGGCACGCAATTGTACTATACACACAAAAGGCTTGAACTTAAATATATAAGTTAATTTTTAAACTTAAATATATAAGTTAATTTTTTACTAAACCTGGCAACAGGAATAGAAGACTTCATTTCTTTCAACGAGCATCGTGATGAGATCCCATTCTCCATTTTCCACATAATTGGACAAATCACCTTCTCTCGTTTGAATGACGACATTCACACGATATCCGTCATAAGACCACGATGCAAATTTCATTGAACAATTCTGCTCGTCAAATGGAAACCATGCTACATTTATCTTGCATGAGCTCCGAAAGATGGCGCTGGAAAGCCATGTTAAATTTCCGTCTGAAGAAACGATGACGTTGGTGCTGAGTATGGCATTGTTGTATTGTGAATCTGCGCTGTAAAATAAAGGAAATAAATTGAAAAAAAAAAACTAGACAATTTATGATGAAAAATGTTGGCCACTGACTGCCGTGGCACAAATTACTGGCCTTATTTATAAACTGAACTTATTTGCTCATTTATTATTGCAAGCCGAAATAATAGCAAGAATGTAGGTGCAACTAAATATAGACTTTCATTGAAAAAAAAAAACAAAGTTACCATGGTAAGCGATTTATTTAAAAACATATTAAAATCAACAGACGCACTACACGCTCACAAAGAGTAATAAAACAGCAACGAAAAATAAGAATACAATCTAACTATCTTAGTTGCTAGTTAGTTAGATACTACAGATAAGGGATGACGTCAAGAGCAACGCGTGATTAACCTAGAGCCCCTGAACTAGAGCCAGTAGAGATAGTATAGGAGTCTTAGATTAACCTACAGCAAATGAAAAAGATAGGAACACGCAGTCCATGACGTCCCCGACGTAAGATGAATGCATAAGAAATTTACGTCACCAAAGATGGGTTTCATGAAACGGAAGATATAATTAAGTTAAGAAGCTTTATATAATAGCCGTAACACCTACTTTAGTAAACGAGAAACTTTTCACGTAATTAAGTCGCTCGGGTTATCAACGTAGCGGAAAGCTTGTGGGGGCATTAATTGTCGATGACCGGGACCGAACCAGATACCTTTAAGCCAATCCTCTAACCACCCTGGAAAAGTTTATACGCCTGCATTGTTTTGTCTTATACAAAGCTTCGTACGAAACATATTTCCTCTTTCTAACTTAATAGGAAGTAGGAAGTGTCAGCCCAGATCTGCACCCTGTCATTTGTATAAAAACGTCTGCTAAATTTTTTGACAAAGGTAAAATATTTCATTTGATCGCCTAATTAATTGAGATTTATAGACGCTAAATAAAAGAAACTTACACCAGAAATATATTTTTCTGAAGGCAGAAACTTTGTACGAATTCTTTAAGTGGAGTTCTCTTTAATCAAAGATGATTCAATGTCAACCACAAGATTGAAAGGTTCAGTCATTTGCTGAATAATTAGGAAACGGTATATTTGTCCTCCAGTTCGTATGAACTCTCTCTGTCATCTATGAATGTTTCGATGCTCCGTACGTTTATAAAAATATTATTGATAAATGTCTATTAGTTATCCATTAGTATTTGAAAACAGTTCTTGCCTGATGATGTAAACGTCATTTGTTAAAAAAATGACATGATTTGAGCCCTCGAAAATAGGTCTCCATTCTCAAGACTTGTCTGACGTGAATGAGGAAAATAAAATTAATTTGAAATTGAAAAAATAAAAGTGCCCACGAAAAATTGAAAGTAAAGGTGAAAAAAAAATTAGAAAAACCGCGGTGGGCAAGAGGCAAGTCAGGACTGTTTGCATTTTCACGAGATATGGGGGTTTGGAGAAAAAAAATCGACATTCATTTGAATGAAACAAGATTCCAGTATATCAAGATGAGCTGATGTGACAGGGGTGGAAGTGTATTTTTGGCAACAGCAGTTTTTCTAGATTTTTTTCGCCTTTACTTATTTATTGTTTTCTGTTTCACTCTCGCCTATGGCGGTTTTTCTAGTTTGTTTTGCTTTTATTTTTCTCATTCACTTTGGGCGAATATTAGAAAATGCACCGATTTTTGTGCGCTCGAAATATAATGACTTTTATCACCCTACTTCACATTTCTTTTGAAGCAAATGAAGCTAACATCATCAAGTATATCTTTCCGTTTTGGTTTCTTGGGATTATTCATTTAATTCTTACTTGTTGTACAAAATTATGTCTGGTCGCCATACTTTATCCGCTGGAATTCGAATAACTTTTATTCCTCCGAAATCTGAATGATTCCAAAGAAGTCCGTAATCCATCCAGATCTAAAAGAAGAAAAAAAAAGATGACATTTTTATGAACATTTTATAACTTGATCTATTGCTGAATTATGCGGTGTGTCTAATCTAAACCTACTACTATTAAAGTTGAACTCCGTAGTCTTGTAATTTTGAACCCAATCCAGAAGACAAGGGAACTCCTGGATCAAACATTGGCAGAAATTTGTTTTGAGGGAACTAACTCCATTTGCGCTACATGGAGAGGAAAACCACGAAACCCTCTTACGCTTAGTCTGACGGCACGAGGACTCTAATCCATGATCCGCCAACGATTGAGGATATTTTACGTCAGCACTGTGGTCGGTGCGACCCGGGTGATGAATTCGTATCGAATAGCCATGGCTGAGATTCGAACCCGGTTCACCTCATTGAACGAAGAACGCTCTATTCCCTGGTTGTTTTTAAAACTCATCTCTGCCTTTTGGTTATAACACAAGTTTTGGAGTTTTCAGAGACATCTTCCGTAACCAATATCTTTTACGGAAGATGTCTCCGAAAACATCAAAACTTGTTCGACAACCAGAAAATACAGAGATGAGTCTTAAAGGCGATCATAAAAAACGCCTAAAAGTCCCCCAAGGCAGTCAAGCAGGTTTTAATGCTTTGCTTAGTAGTATTTCATTAGATTTCAATAGAACTAATTTTTTTTTTAAATAATAATAATAATTTTTCACCCTGTAAGGTGTCAAAACTTAAGGAGATACCTAAAACCTCTCAGGAATTTCGAACAGAGAAGGATTGAACTGCATTTATTAGGAACTTCTTCAAGTTTCATCAGGATAATATGTCCCAATATACACCAAAGAGCCATTACATTATGACCATCCTCCATCTATAACAATGGACTCGCCCAGGTTTTCGTGGTTTCTCGCCCAGGAACAATGTTTTCATGGGGCACATTAGGATCCATAATCCTCATAGAACAATCCCTGACGTCTGTAAGCTACTTGAACATGGTTGCAGACCANATAACAAGGAAATACACTTCAAGTTTTAAAGGCGATCATAAGAAATGCATCAAAGCCACCCAAGGCAGTCAAACAGGTTTTGATGCTTCACTCTCCTTAGCAGTGTATCGTTAGATTTTAATAAAGCTATTTAAAAGAAATAATAATAATAAATTACGACCCTCTAAGGGGTCAAAACCTAAGGAGACCCTTAAAACCTCCTACAAGTTTCGGACAGAGAAAGATTTAAATGCATAATCTACTAGGAACTTCTCCAAGTTTCATCAGGGTAATATATCCCAATATATAAAGAATTAACTTGTTACTTGCATTCAATATACTGGATAAATACATACATTTGTAGAATGCAAACTTTTAACTAATAAGAATAAACATGTTAAAATTGTATTTTAAATTGACTATACATTTTAATAGTTAATGATTATTTAGTTATTTATTCCGCCATAAATATAAAAATGGTTAATGTTTGTTCTTCGAAAGATTTGACGTCAAAGAAATAACGCTTTTTCGCCAATTGTATAATTTTATATTATAACTGTTTTAGAGCAGTTGCAACTTTATAATAGATACTGTCTGGTTAAATTTCTTTTTAAGATACAAAAACAGGCGCAAAATATCAATTTGAAGAAAAACTGCAGTTTTTTTATGTATGAAAGCGTTACTTTGCGGCATTTCGTAACTAAATAAAAAGATGTAAAAGGTGAAAACAATAAAGTTGTAATAGTTTTTATCTTGTATCAAAATCTTGCCAAGATGGCACTTTTTTGAAAAGTTTAAATATTTTTTTTTAAATATTTAAACAATTTGCTAGGTAATATTTTTTTCAACAAAATAATATATGTAGTTCAAAATTAAAAGTTTTCCTCAAGTTTAAGTGGCCTTTCTTTATTTTCCTGAGCAAAAGAGCTACGATAATGGACATTATTTTAAGCCGATTAACCTGTAGGACTTTTAAACACATTAAATGTCACGTGATTTTTCATTCTTTTTCATTAAAAAATTATGAGCACTCTTGCTTCATCTTATTTTCTTTCTTTCTTTCAAGAGAGAGAGCGTGAAAGAGAGAAGAATAGGAAGAGATCTCATTACCTGATTCAGCCAGCAGTTGGTAGTTAAAATCTGATTTCTTTCATCCTTCCAGCAGATAAAAGAAAAGAAATTATAATGATCAAAATTTAAGCAGATAATGAGAGACGGAGAACAAGTAATTAAAACAAAAGGCAGCACATGTTATGAATTTTAAATGTGACCATATTTCCAAATATAGAACTTTCTCAGAAACTTTTATGGAAAAGAATTTGTTCCATCCATTAAGTGATCTTAAAATGAGAATGATTTTAGCTTACATTAATTTAAATATAGTATCATAATGAAGTCTAAATGTGAAGAATGTTTTATAAATATTGGTGCAAACTCAGAGAGGAGGTAAGGGACATTATAATGATTGAGAATCGCATTTTAACTCTAAGGCCGGATAGTCATAGTTGGCCGCTAGGGGCGCATTCTTATGAACTTTCTATTTCTGCACCCTTGAGCTGATACTTTTATTTATTTAAACTATAGTTTCCCAACCATTTTTTTTAGTTCATCGTTCATTTATTCAGTTTCATTCATTTATTCAGTTTCATTCATTTATTCGTTCAGTTTCTATTTACCAATGTATTGCTACTGAGAACAATTTTTAGAAATTTTCATGAAGATGATTTTAAATCATTATACCTAAATGAAATGTAAATAATAAATTAAATATTATTATTTAAAATTATTTAATTTTCATATTTTATGTAGTTGTTTGATAAAATGAGGGGCAAGATTTTTTTTGCAATTTCGGACTGTTATGAGGTAATCTCTCGACGTTCCATCTCCCCTAAATTCGATACTGAAATGAAAACATTTCAAATTTAATGAAGTGATTTAAATTTTGAAAGATAACTGTCAGAAATCTAAAGTTCTCTTTCCGAAAAATATACGACGAAAGTTTAAATACCTCGAGTTATTTTAATTCAGATTTTATTTGAAAAATAAATTTCAGATTTTTTTATTGGATTAATAAAAATGTGTAGTTGATTTAGTCTAAGAAATTACTAACTAGCTGTTTCGAGAAATTGAGACTGATGCTCTTAGGACAGCTGACAGTAACATATAATATAACACAGTTTCAAAATAGAAAAAAAAAATGTTACACGGCTCTACAACTTTAACTACACAATTTTCTTTCTGATTTTAAGATAAACGATTTCAAAACAAGTTGTCCAATAATGATTTTTAATGAAATCAAGGCTTGTTAAACCATAAAATTTAAAAGCTTCAAAAAAACAACGAAAAATTCATTAATTTGTTAAAAATTAAAAATGACAGTTTGTATTTTTAAAGACGAAAAATATCACCTCAGTTTCCTAAGTGTTAAAACGGGTTTATGTAATATCAAGTAAAGTGAGAGTGTCTTTTTTCTCAAGAAAAAGGACTAGTACTCTATTATTTTTATAGATTTCTATATTAACTACTTTTATAAATTCGTATAAATGCAGAGTTAGAAATCGTAACTAATTTTTGAATAGAAATTTTTTTTTAAAAATATTAATTTCAAAGTGCTCTCAATTTTTAAAATTTCTTCTGGAATTTCTTTCGGTCTCTCTAAAAAGCTCTTGAGCAAGGATCTAAACTATCTTAATTTGATGTTTTGGGATAGTTTTAGTCGAAAATTTCATGCAAAGAAGCTCAGAAATAGCTGCTTTATCATATTATTCTAATTTGGCGGTCAACTTGGCGAGCTTGTCAAATTAGTCACCAAATCATGAAATAATTTTTTATTTTAATAATATTTCGTTCACCATTCATCCATTTTTCTGACGTTTAATTAATTACTCATTCAGCTAGTTTAATTAATTATAAAAGTAAGTTTAATAAATATTTAGTGTGCGTTATCAAAAAGATTAATAACAAGTCTCATTATTTTAGTGGAATATTTGCACAATCAAAACAAGACTGGAGTGAGCGATGAAAAAACTATATAAATATTATGGTTTAAAATATTTTATATGATGTGAGAATTTTTAAAACTTTAGGAAATATGATAACTTACGACGTCTATAATTTGGGTTAGTGCTAGTCCAAAGGTAACGTTCACAGGTTCATCAGTATGCCTCGCAGGCCTGACGTTCTTGTCGTAATTGGAGAGAAGAAATCTGGTTAAACGATATTCATTCTCATCTCTACCGTTGATAATCATCAGTACTAAAAATGAAGGAAAAAATATGTCAGTTTCATTCCTTTAAACTACAAATTATCTCTATTAATAGTTGATTTGAAATAAACTTGGTGATGAGAACTTTTCTTGGAAATTAACGGCTATAAGAAGCCAATATGATATAGTTTGCATCATTATATCATAGTTCGTCGTTCGTCGACTGGTACCGGGGTATTAGACCAGGCCAAGCCTTGACCCTTTCTTATAATAGGAAAATCTGTACCACCATCTCGCACTTCGCCTGCGGTTACTTAAAGCAGTTTTTCGACGCTCTGTCGCCAAGGAAAATAAAAGAGCTATAGTTTAAGTGTCTTACACTTGAAGCAAATGCGATGATTTTAAACTAGCTATTTAAACTTGCCTTGAAGAATTATCTGGGCTTTAGAATAGACAAATAACTTATAAATTTTAAAAGTTATGAAACTTTTTTTTTAAATCATTGATTCGGTGACATTTTTCCACCTAAATGAAAATTATTAAAATCACTGCCGCATTCTCAGTTTTTGCACATTTTTATGAGCCCAAGTAAAGCAGTATTGAAGTAAGCTTTAAAATATTAAAAAAGTTAGACCACAAACTCTTTTCATTTTCACAAAACTGTGGCATTTCTCCCTATGACGTTTTGCGCCATTTACAAAATAAGCGTAGGCAGCGCTGATGGGTTTAGATAGGTTAAATTAGACCTAGTCATGAGTAAACAGTTGCAAACTCACAGCAATTTCAAAAGTGGCATATTATTCGCAAAAAAGTATAATTTCATATTACGACGGGGCCTTCGAAAAACCGAATTTCGAGTCTACCCAATCCAAAAGACAAGGGAACTCTGCCCCAGCACCCCCAGGAGTATTTATTTGTTATGAACTTAGTGACCCCGACAGATTTAACGTGCACGGCCCTGAATTTGCCATAATCATAATCAGAAAATATCTGACAGATATCTCCCGCAAACTTGCGTACTTATTTCGAAATTTCTTATGATAGGAAGATACTTTAAATAATACATTGGAACTAGGAAACTGTTACAAATATGATACACAGAATTCATTTGCATATATTTTCAACTAATTTATCAACTGAGCAAAATCAATTTATTTTATTTATTTGCTTAATGATTTATTAAATTTATGTATTTTTCCATCAGTTTATCAAACATAAACTCTCCTTCACAGAAAACATTTAAATGTGATAAATTACATTGAAGTAATAAGGTTATGTAAGCATTAATTTATGCGAGTTATTATAATTAATATGATAAATTGATTTGAAGTAAACTATAAGGTGTCTAATTACTGCGTAAAACGAAGGACGGTCCCAAAAATCGATTAAAAGAATTAATTCGGCACGATAGAGTTTGCTTGAAATAAAAAGAGTGTCTTAAGTTACTAATTTTAAATTTTTTTTTTCTTTGTAAAAAAAAAAAAAAAATTGTTGATGATCTTAAANTTTTATTTTGAACTAAGTAATAGTGAATTAAATAAATCAAACAATTATAGTAGCCATTTTATACATTTAATAATTTCACCATTATTTACAATGACGTTGTATGTGTGCAATCTTTCCATACGCAGTAAGTAATGTTAGAACTCGCCCCGGTTGAAAAATTCGCTCGTTGGAACTTAAAAATGTGTAGTCTGCCTCTTGTGAAGTACAATTCACCTATATTAGATTCCATATGTCAGCTCCTCGAGAAAGACAAACACTAGTTGGAGCCAATCTACGGCTATTCTATAAGGAACTTCTGCTTTCAACATTTTACCAATTGAAGCTGTCTGTGTCAACTATTTCCATCAATTTATGTCTTGTCGAACAAAAATAGAGAAAGTAAAAAGGTCTACTTTGTTAAAAAAGAAAGAACAAAAATAGCTTTATACAAAGTAGACAAGAAAATGGACGTATAATGTATATTGTTTATATTCGCCATGGATCGGCAAGTTAAAATTCTGTCATAAAACCTTCCGGCGGGCCACAGTTGGCCCGCGGGCCGTAGTTTCCCCATCTCTGAGCTAGCCTATGCTCTAACCACCTTGGAAAAGTGTATACACCAGAATAGGCTGAGTAAGAAAACTTTATATAGTTGCCACAGCAAGCTTATTACCCGTTCTTAATAAGGCAGAAACTTAATACTATTTCTTTAACTGGAGCTCTCTTAAATCAAAGATTATTCAATATCAACCACAAAATTGAAAGGGTTAAACATTTGCTGAATAATTGGGGAACGGTATATTTTCACAATATTTGTCCTCCAGTTCAAATAAATTCTTTGTCATCTATGGATTTGGATGTTTCGATGCCCTGTGCGCTTATATAAATATATAGATAAAAATTTATTAGCTATTCATTAGTATATGAAAACAGTTCTTACTTGATGATGTAAACTTCATTTGCCAAAAAATATGAGACATGGCAGCAAAAATCGACATGATTCAGGCTCTCAAATATTGGTTCTCATTCTCAAGACTCGTCTGACGTGAATGAGAAAAGTAAAATTTATTTGAAACAGAAAACGTAAGGAGGTGCCAACGAAGAATTGAAAGTAAATGTGAAAAACAAAATTTGGAAAACCACGATAGCCAGGAGACAAGTCAGGACAGGTTGCGTTTTCACCCGCTATGGGGACCTGAAGAGCTAAGCGATATTCATTTGAATGAAACAAGATTCCAGAACATCAAGATAAGCTGATGTGACAGGGGTGGAAATGCATTTTTAATGATTTGCCTTTTTCGGCCAATGCAGTATTTTTAATTTTGTTTTTCACCTATATTTGTTTGCTGTTTTCTGTTTCACGTTTTTGTGTGTTCTATAGTGGTTTTTCTAGTTTGTTTTGCTTTTATTTTTCCAGTCACTTCTGTCGAGTTTTAAAAAGAGAGCCTATTTTTGTGCGCTCGAAACATGTTGACTTTTATAACCCTACTTTACATTTTTTTGAAGCAAATGAAGTTTACATCATTAAGTATATCTTTCCATTTCAGTTTCTTGGGATTATTCATGAAATTCTTACTTGTTGTACAAAATTATGTCTGGTCGCCATACTTTATCCGCTGGAATTCGAATAACTTTTATTCCGCCGAAATCTGAATGATTCCAAAGAAGTCCGTAATCCATCCAGATCTAAAAGGAAAAAAGAGAAATTTTTAGGAACATTTTATAACTTGATGTATTGTTGAATTATATAGGGTGCTCTTAATTCTAACCAATATCATTTTATTATATTTTATAACAGTCGTTGAACAGCCGACCCAATGTTTTGGGTTTACGGCTACTAATGTTCAACTTCGCAGCCTTGAAACTTTAAAACCAATATAGAAGATAAGAGAATTCCTGGATAAATTATTGAAAAAAAATTGCCTTCGTAGAGGTCTTTTTGATTAAACTAGCCCGAATTTGCGTTACATGTAAAGGAAATCCACGAAAGCCTCACATGGTTAGCCAAACGGCAAAGGGACTCATAACTCGTGATCCGTCAACTACTGAGGATATTGCACGTCAGCTCTGTGATCGATGCGTGCAGGGTGCGGCCTGACCGATTGTTTAATAACAAGGAAATACACTTCAAGTTTTAAAGGCGATCATAAGAAATGCATCAAAGCCACCCAAGGCAGTCAAACAGGTTTTGATGCTTCACTCTCCTTAGCAGTGTATCGTTAGATTTTAATAAAGCTATTTAAAAGAAATAATAATAATAAATTACGACCCTCTAAGGGGTCAAAACCTAAGGAGACCCTTAAAACCTCCTACAAGTTTCGGACAGAGAAAGATTTAAATGCATAATCTACTAGGAACTTCTCCAAGTTTCATCAGGGTAATATATCCCAATATATAAAGAATTAACTTGTTACTTGCATTCAATATACTGGATAAATACATACATTTGTAGAATGCAAACTTTTAACTAATAAGAATAAACATGTTAAAATTGTATTTTAAATTGACTATACATTTTAATAGTTAATGATTATTTAGTTATTTATTCCGCCATAAATATAAAAATGGTTAATGTTTGTTCTTCGAAAGATTTGACGTCAAAGAAATAACGCTTTTTCGCCAATTGTATAATTTTATATTATAACTGTTTTAGAGCAGTTGCAACTTTATAATAGATACTGTCTGGTTAAATTTCTTTTTAAGATACAAAAACAGGCGCAAAATATCAATTTGAAGAAAAACTGCAGTTTTTTTATGTATGAAAGCGTTACTTTGCGGCATTTCGTAACTAAATAAAAAGATGTAAAAGGTGAAAACAATAAAGTTGTAATAGTTTTTATCTTGTATCAAAATCTTGCCAAGATGGCACTTTTTTGAAAAGTTTAAATATTTTTTTTTAAATATTTAAACAATTTGCTAGGTAATATTTTTTTCAACAAAATAATATATGTAGTTCAAAATTAAAAGTTTTCCTCAAGTTTAAGTGGCCTTTCTTTATTTTCCTGAGCAAAAGAGCTACGATAATGGACATTATTTTAAGCCGATTAACCTGTAGGACTTTTAAACACATTAAATGTCACGTGATTTTTCATTCTTTTTCATTAAAAAATTATAAGCACTCCTGCTTCATCTTATTTTCTTTCTTTCTTTCAAGAGAGATAGCGTGATAGAGAGAAGAATAGGAAGAGATCTCATTACCTGATTCAGCCAGCAGTTGGTAGTTAAAATCTGATTTCTTTCATCCTTCCAGCAGATAAAAGAAAAGAAATTATAATGATCAAAATTTAAGCAGATAATGAGAGACGGAGAACAAGTAATTAAAACAAAAGGCAGCACATGTTATGAATTTTAAATGTGGCCATATTTCCAAATATAGAACTTTCTTTGAAACTTTTATGGAAAAGAATTCATTCCATCCATTAAGTGATCTTAAAATGAGAATAATTTTAGCTTATATTAATTTAAATATAGAATCATAATGAAGTCTAAATAAGCAGAATGTTTTATAAATATTGGTACAAACTCAGAGTACGGGACATAATAGGGATTGAGAATTGCATAATAACCCTATGGCCAGAGAGTCATCGTTGGCCGCTAGGGGCGCATTCTTATGAACTTTCTATTTCTGCGCCCTTGAGCTGATACTTTTATTTATCTAAGCTATAATTTCCCGACCATTTTTTTAAGTTCATCTTACATTTTGCAACACAAAAATTATTCTGCTCCTCAAAAAACAAAACTTTTTTTTCATTTCATTTTTTTTAAATTCTTTTTTTAATAAGATACACTCGAACCATGTTGTTAATTTACTGAAAGCTTCTATTAGAAATTTTCATGAAGGTGTTTGTATCGATTCTAATTCACTATACCTCAATGAAATTCAAATAAATTAAATATTGTTTAAAATTATTTAATTTTCATATTTTATGTAGTTGCTTGAAGAAGTGAGGTGCAATATTTTTATGATTTCAGACTGTAATGAGGTGATCTATCAATTTTCTATTACCACTAAATCCGGTACTGAGACAAAAACATTTCAAATTTAATGAAGTGATTTGAATTGCAGAAAATAACTGTTTAGCATATAACTGTTAGAAGTTTTTTTTTTGTGAAAAAAATACGAGGAAAGTTTAAATACCTCGAGTTTATTTTAATTCAGATTTTATTTGAGAAATAAATTTCAGAATTTTCTCTTGGATCAACAACAAAAAAAGAAGAAAAAATATGCGTATTTGATTTAGTCTGAGGATTTACTAGCTGTTTCGGGAAATTAAGACTGATGTTTTTAGGACAGCCGAAAGTAACATATAATAAAAACACGGTTTCAAAATAGAGAAAAAAATTACACGGTTCTACAACTTAAATTACACAATTTTCTTTCTGATTTTAAGATAAACGATTTAAAAACAATTTGTCCAATAATGATTTTTAACGAAGTCAAGGCTTGTTAAACCATAAAATTTAAAAGCTTCAAAAAACAACAAAAAATTCATTAATTTGTTAAAAATTAAAAATGACAGTTTGTATTTTTGACGAAAAATATCACCTCAGTTTTCTAAGTGTTAAAACGGTTTTATGTAATATCAAGCAAAGTGAGAGTGTCTTTTTTCTCAATAAAAAGGACTCTATTATTTTTATAGATTTCTATATTAACTACTTTTATAAATTGGTATAAATGCAGAGTAACTAATTTTTGGATAGAAAATTTTTTTTAAAAACATTAATTTTAAAGTGCTCTCAATTTTTAAAATTTCTTCTGGGATTTCTTTTGGTCCCTCTAAAAAGCTCTTGAGCAAGGATCTAAACTATCTTAATTTGATGTTTTGGGATAATTTTAGTCGAAAATTGCATGCAAATAAGCTCAGAAATTGATGCTTTATCATATTATTCTAAATTGGCGGTCAACTTGGCGAGCTTGTCTAGTAAATCACCAAATCATTACATAATTTTATATTTTAATAATATTTCGTTCACCACTCATTTATTTTTCTGACGTTTAATTACTCATTCTGCTAGTTCAATTATTCATCAATTAATTATAAAATTAAATTTAATAAATAATTAGTTTACGTTATCAATAAGATTAATAACAAGCTTAATTATTTTAGTGAAATATTTGCTCAGTCAAAACAAGACGATGAAAAAAAATATATAAATATTACGGTTTAAAATATTATTTCCATCCATAGATATGATGTGAGAATTTTTAAAACTTTAGGAAATATGATAACTTACGACGTCTATAATTTGGGTTAGTGCTAGTCCAAAGGTAACGTTCACAGGTTCATCAGTATGCCTCGCAGGCCTGACGTTCTTGTCGTAATTGGAGAGAAGAAATCTGGTTAAACGATATTCATTCTCATCTCTACCGTTGATAATCATCAGTACTAAAAAGAAAAGAAAAATTATCAGTTTTATTCCTTTAAATTACAAATGGGCTTTATTAACAGTTGCTCTAAAATAAACTTATCGATGAAAACTTTTCTTGGCAATTAACGGCTATAAGAAGCCAAGATGCAGTAGTTTGCATCATTATATCATAGCTCGTCGACTGGTACCGGGGTATTAGACCTGGCCAAGCACTGACCCTTTCTTATAATAGGAAAATCTGTACCCTCGCTCTTCGCCAGAGGTCACTTAACGCAGTTTTTCGAAGCCCTGTCGCCAAGGAAAATAAAAATAAACGCATAGTTTAAGTGCCTTACACTTGAAACAATGTGATGATTTTAAACTATATAAATAATTTTGCAGTGAAGAATTATCTGGGCTTTAGAAATAACTAAAATATTTTAAAAGTTATTAAACTTTTTTTTGAAAAATAGTCGATTCAGCGACATTTTCCCACCTAGATGAAAGTTATCAAAATCACTGACGTATTCTCAGTTTTTGTACATTTTTATGAACCCAAGTAACGCAGTATTGAAGTAAGCTTTTAAATATTAAAAAATTTAGACCACAAACTCTTTTCATTTTCACAAAAATGCAGCGTTTCTCCATATTGACGTTTTGCGCCATTTTCAAAATAAGCGTAGGCAGCGCTGGCTTTAGATAGGTTAAATTAGATCTAACAGTCATGAGTAACAGTTGCAAACTCACATCAGTTATAAAACTGGCATATTATTCACAAAAAAAGTATAATTTCATATTACGACGGGACCTTCGAAAAAACCGAATTTCGAGTATACCCAATCCAGGAGACAAGGGAACTCTGCCCCACCACCCCCAGAAGTATTTATTTGTTATGGACTTAGTGACACCGGCAGATTTAACGTGCATCAGTCACCATTTAATAGACGGGGATTCTTCGACCGGTTGTATTCGAATTCCCGTTCTCACGAACTTGAGTCCAACGCCCTAAATCTGATCCCCATTTTATGTTTGACATTTGTTGAAACTAAACACATTTAGTCATGATCTTGATGTAGATAGAAAAATCTGTGCCAATGTTAAGTTTCGGATATCGCTTCGGTGAATTTCAGAATTTGGCCCAGGAGACACATGCAGATTAAATAATATTTCAACCAAAAAAAAAAAAAAAAATTCGTATGTATGCATCTAATCTTGAAATATATTTGTACCGAATATGAATGAAAAAAACCTATTTATGACAATTTGTTTTATATTATATCCACTTTTCTATTATCAGCAATTTCCCACCTTTCCTTGTACCGCCATTGAAATAAAAAGCTATACAAAATAGTTTTTTTAATCAGATTTAATACAAGGCATACACTAAATATTCTTATAGGAGATAAGAGAATATAAACCGAGTTTGAATATTATGGGTTAATATTAAGGGGAGATACGAGGCCATTTAAATGCGTAGCTTTTAAAATGCCACACCCATTTTTTTCTACAATTATTTATCGGGCTCACTAATTTACTAATAATTATTCCCTTCTGTATGATTGTTACCCATAGATTACAAAAATTACACATAGTTTACCATTACTTGGTACATATAACTGACACTTCAGACTCAAAATTGTTATACATTGCTCAAAATACAAAATGAACAACCCTGATTAACTTTTGATCTAATAATCGCATTTTCTCTCACTAGGATTCAATCCTAATGTTTTGAAGGCCAAACCTTTAGTATGTGTGAACGCTATTATGAAAATCAGACACAAAAACGCATTTTCTCTGAATAAGCATACTTTTTTTTTTCTTTCCAAAGATTCAGATTCCTGAGCATCAAATAATGGGGGGGGGGGGGAAATATAATTCAAATCTTCAAATATAGTTCAGCTTTTTTCGCAATGGGTGTTGAACCAAACTTTCGACCGCTCTCTTTTCCTAAATATAGGGACCATATTTTACAGATAGTGGCTACCCCCTATATTTTGAGAGCCAAAAATCTGAATCCGATGAAAATATGTAAGTTTATTAAGAGAAAGTACGTTTTCATGTCTGATTTCGTAATTTAAAATATCGTCTGCACTAATTAGTCAAAAATCGTCTTACTTAGAAAAAGTACGTTTTTATGTCTGATTTCGTAACTTAAAATATCGTTTGCAGTAATAAGTTAAAGATAGTCGTATTAAGAGAAAGTACGTTTTCATGTCTAATTTCGTAACTTAAAATATCGTCTGCACAAATGAGGGAAATATCTTCTTATTAAGATTAAATATCGTCTGAAACAATTAAGGCCCTGGAATCATTGAAATTGATTCCTGGTACGTAAAAATCCGATCATTTGATCAAAAGTTATTCAGGTTGTTCATTCCATTACGTTGCGCACTGAGCATTATAATTGCATTGTGTAAAGTTTTCTAGCTAACATTTATTTTTGATTGAAATCTTATTTTATCTATTTTTTGTTACGAGAAAGAATTTGTTAAAAGAACTGTGGGGACAAATTTTCTGCATTATTTGTGTATTGAATTTAGTATTCTATTTTTTGTTCCTCATTTCAATACAATCATGTATCGACGTTTAACAATTCTGAAATTTAAAGTTTGTTTGATTTGATCAAAGATACAACACGTTTCCTTATACAAATATACTCGATTTAAATATCCTGTCCAAGGAAAACTTTTTTTTTCAAAGAATTTTGTACAAATTCAATAAATAATTAAATATTTTATAGTAATTTATTTAAATAGTTGATGGCGGCATTTATTTAACTGATATTCCAATTCATGTTTAGGAAAAAGCTAGTTTTATGTTTAGCTCAATTTTTTTTCTTCTTCTAGGTAATGCTTTTGTATAAAGGGTAGTCGATTTTGTTCTACTACCTTATTATGTTGAATTCAACATTTTAATACATTTAAAATGAAAGTCATAAAAATTACTGAAGATTTCTAATATGTAAAAATCAGTTGAAATGTTGAGAAATGTTTTTTTTTTCCTTTTCTTTTTAATTCGATCTCTTATCACAAAATAAATATACCATATTCATTTGTATTTAATTTCATTCTACAAGGATAAACTCTATTTAAAAATATCAATAAAAAATATATGAAACCNCCAATTCTGAAATTTAAAGTTTGTTTGATTTGATCAAAGATACAACACGGTTCCTTATACAAATATACTCGATACAATTTAAATATCCTGTCCAAGGAAAACTTTATTTTTTTTCAAAGAATTTTGTACAAATTCAATAAATAATTAAATATTTTATAGCAATTTATTTAAATAGTTGATGGCGGCATTTATTTAGCTGATATTCAAGTCATGTTTAGGAAAAAGCTAGTTTTAAGTTTAACTCAATTTTTTTTCTTCTTCTAGGTAATGCTTTTGTATAAAGGGTAGTCGATTTTGTTCTACTACCTTATTATGTTGAATTCAACATTTTAATACATTTAAAATGAAAGTCATAAAAATTACTGAAGATTTCTAATATGTAAAAATCAGTTGAAATGTTGAGAAATGTTTTTTTTTTCCTTTTCTTTTTAATTCGATCTCTTATCACAAAATAAATATACCATATTCATTTGTATTTAATTTCATTCTACAAGGATAAACTCTATTTAAAAATATCAATAAAAAATATATGAAACCGCATTCATGTATAGTTAATATTGTATGATGGCTGTCAGATGACATTTACTAGCAGCGGACTTTATTTGTTAGAATTTCTAATATCATGAGTGTCGTGTAATCACCGCCTTTAATATATCAGTTAATATATAGTTTTAGAAAACCTTTTAAAAAAGAAATCGTAAAAAAAATCTACTCACTAAGTGTCACAAATTAATATTAAGAAAAAAACCGATAACGTTATAAAAATTTGATATTTCAAGATCAATCAGGGCAAATGCGGTCTCAAAATCATTAAAAATCGATTTGACAAAAGTTCCATCTTTTTTGGCAACTTTACGAACGCTTGAGTTTAAAAAGTTGGAGTTCGTATGTAATAGATCCAAGCTACATGAAACAAGCTACATGATTTCAACTACCTAACTTCACAGTATTAACTTTTGTACTATCAACTGTTAAAAATAAATAAATAAAAGCACATGCATGCGCTAAAAAATATTTTAATTCAAGGATATTTTTAAATTAAATATAATTAAAAGTAATAAGACGGTTTTTATCTAGATTTAACTAATGTGGTAGCTAAAATACGTGATCAATGACGAATCGTTCAACATTAAGTGTTCATTTATTATATTGCACTTGCATACAGCACCCTGCATGTTTACGTACATAGGTTCTGCGCAAGCTCATTAGAGAATCGTTTCCGATTTGACGTTCCATAAAATGTTTAGATATTACATAGAATGACGAATTTTAAACTTTGAAAGTAGCATATCTGATTCATTAGAATCCCGCTCAAAACGATGTTAATAAAGACTAAAAAAATAAATATTATTAAAATATATATTTAAACAATCAGGGTGGTTATGTGTAAACATTTTTTTTAAATATTTATAAGCAATAATTTCAACAAAAAAATTAGTTTCTCAAAAAAAAAAGAAAAAAAAACATTGAAAGATTTATAAAAGCGATACTTTACTATCTTCTTTCTAAATGTGAACTATATTAGTTCTTGAGGAGTTTATTTGAATGGAACGATTTCAAATTGACGTTATAAAGACAAGTTTGAATACATCCGAAGAAATAAATAAGAATTATTTCTCCATTCTTTAGAATCAAATCGGAAAAATTCCTGAAAAAGAATTATTATTGCCATACATAAGTGCCTTTCTCTCAGAAAGTGATAATCGTATAATCCATTTTGTATCAGTGAAAATAAGGTAAAAAGTCATAGAAATAAAAATATAATATATAAGGAGAAATTTCCTGTTAAATTCAAAGTTAAGAAGTTAAAGCAAAAGAATAACCGTTTGGAACATTTGTTACTTCGAAGAAAACAACTGCTACAAAGGTTCTGATGATAAAATAATGGGGGTAGATCATCTTTTCCGATCATCGT